GAATTTGGAAAAGCAATCCTCCTCTCTTTGCCTGTGATGGACTAAGTAGAAATATATGTTAAATTTATTTCTAAACTGTAAAGTGATGTTCAAATATAAGGTGTCATTAGTACCAATGAACATTATTATTCAGAAGATAGTCTCCTTTGGTAAGCAAGTCAAAATTCCCACCACAATCTGATGATTAATAAATCAAAGTGAATCCTCATGGATCAAAGAATTTCTTGATGCTGGTTGACGCAATGAGCTTACATGACAGTTTTCATTGTTTTGGTGAAAACAAGAATTCATTGTAACACAAATATCATATTGCCCCAATCTACCACAAGATTGTCTATGCTTTGGAGGGTGCCTAAGTTGGGTTTCCCTGGGGCAGATCCTGAGCAAGAATTTGAGTAAAGGTATTTTATCTGCGAGAAGAAGGATATGCCAATAATAGGGGAAGGGAAATGAGGGAGGGAGACAAAGGAGGGAAGGCAGACAATGAAAGAATATTCCCAAACCACTTCCCAGTGTGGGTGACTAGATTGTAATTCTTCTGGGGAACCTCCAAGAATCAGTGTAGAATTTCTGTTCCTAGATGTAATAGTTAATTTGAATTATCAACTTGATTGGAGTAAGAAAAGTTGATGATTAAGTGGCTTCTGGGTGTGTCAGTGAGGATGTGTCTAGGAATGATTGGCATGTGGGATATTGAACTGAAGTGGAGACCCTCCCCATGTGTGGGCAGCACCATCCAATGGGTTGGATGGTGGCTTGGATGGAATAAAAGTTGGAAGAACAAGGAAGCAGCAGCAGATGCAAGCTCCATTCTTGAACATGTTCTTGATTGCTGCTGTATCACCTGAGGATATCAGACTCTTGCTCCTTCACTATTCTAAAGTGGACTCTGACAGTGATTCTCCAGGGAGTTTCCAGAAGCCTTCAGTCTTAGTCTGGGGTACATTGCTGATTCCTCTTGTTCTGAGGCTTCAGCCTCTTGAACTGCGCAGCTACTGGTTCCTCCAGCTCTCCAGCCTGCAGATGGCCAATGTAGACTATCCAGCTTCTGGTTACCTAAGCCAATCTAATAAACCCCCTTTTTATAATCATACCACCTATTGGTTCAGTTCTTCCTGATTAATACACTAGGAGTGTGGGAGCTAGACGCCAACTCCCATGAGTCACTGTTGGAGAATGCACCTGGAATTTAATGCTCTCTGCAGCTCACCTGCCACACAGGTGGGCAGAGCTGACTTTGCCAGCCAAGAAAAGTCTCAAACAAATGCTTTTACTGCAGAGGTTCCTTCTTAATTGGAAATATACTTTACTTATGTACATAGCCATGCTACACAACAGCTACATAACACAGAGGGAAATTTTCTTCCTTTTCTGTTTCCTTACAAGGACAAATCAGAAAAAGTGACAAACATCAGTCCAAATCAGAATAGGAAAGATCCTTATTAGGTCTTTGGCTTTTATTCTTTTGAATAGTTGAATTTCCAAATACTTCCTAGAAATAACTAATGCTGAAGGAAGCATTTAACTTTTGACACTTCTATTCCATGAAGTAGAATGTGATATTCTCATCACATTTTCACATCTATCATCTCATTTAACTCCGAGAGATGACTTGCAAAGTAAGAGAGTTAATATCTGTTCTTCTAACTTCTAGAATATTCTAAGCCTCACAACAAAGAGCCTGCATACTTAAACCTCAGCTGAAACTGTAGGCTCAAGACAGCAGGAGTAGCTTTGGAGCAAGAGACTTCTAAGAGCCATAGTTCTTCTCTGAAGTGTGTGTGTGTGTTTGTGTGTGTGCTTTTCTCTTATTGTAGGAAAGTAGGATTAAATGGATTATGTGGAACTAAGGAATAGAAGACAAACCCTACTGGGAGTTGGACTTGTCAGGAACTGTCACAGCAGCAGCTAATCTTTGGCCCAGGAAGTGACCCAGAATGCACTTCAGCCTGCCACAGGTTCCCCTCACCAAGACATTGCCCTTCTTAGGAAAACATGGATATTAATATTATTTTCTGTTGACAGCACTGCAGTTGAATGCTAGATAAATTGGTCACTTATTTTCCAGAATATAGATTTAATTTCTGAGGACTCCGAGTCCCTGCAGGAACAGCAACTACCTCCTGAAATTTGCCTTTTGCCAAGACACCACACTGACATTTATCACTGCATACAAAGCTCCATTGTGACTGTCCAGGAATGCATGCCCCTTGAGTATGATGCAATCAGAATTACTGATAAATTACAAAAGCCTTTTGAGCAAGGGATGGATTAATCATTAGGTATGTGCTGTGCTATCAGTGTGCATTCATGAAGTCTCAAGTGCGGTGAAAAGTTCCGGTCCTTTATTCTCTGAAACTCCCAATTCTCTTTTTATTGAAGACAGTGTAGAGTGAAATGAACGCACATTCAAAATTCATGGGGAATCGAAACTTCTGGCAGTGAAAAGGTACTCTTTACATTCTGGGGTCACGGGAACCTTTATGAGCAAAGAACAGAAAAAGCATTTCCAGTAAGTGGTATTCATCATCTCAGAAGTTTGCCCTCTACTTTGGGAGAATAATTGTTCCTCATCCTGAAAATAATGAACAAGAATACTCCAATTTTGTTTCTGATTTTCATTCTCAAATATGAAGATGTGGTTCCAGAATTTCTATGCCTGTGGATTAAGTTATATTGTTGGGCAAATGGGGAAACTAGAAAAATAAGACATCTGTCACTTTCCACCATTCTCTTACCAGTATCATCCATGTTAAAAGAAAGAAAAATAGAGAGACAGAAGCACAAATAATCAAAGTAATTATAGGCAAAAAGAATAAAGCCGAGGACATCACAATACCTGACCTCAAACCATACCACAGAGCTACAGTAACAAAAAGAGTATGGTACTGATATAAAAGCCAACACACAGACCCATGGAACAGAACGGAGAACTCAGAAATAGATCCATGCCTCTATAGTACTTTTGACAAAGGAACTTTTGACAAAGAACACTCCTTTTAATAAATGGTGCTGAGAAAACTGAATGTCCAAAGGCAGAATAATGAAATTAGACTCTTATCTCTCACCATATAAAAAAAAAATGAACTCAAAATGGGTCAAAGATCTAGATGTAAAAAACCTGAAATTATAAAACTGCTAGAAGAAAACACTGAGGAAACACTCAATACATCAATATAGGGCTTTTTTTTTTTTTGAGATAAGACCCTAAAAGCAATGGCAACAAAAGCAAAAGTAGACAGATGGTATTTTATCAGACTAAGTGACTTTTGCAAACAAAACAATAAACAGAGTGAAGAGAAAACCTGCGGAACAGGAGAAAATATGTTCAAACTATTCATCAGACAAAGGATTAATATGGAGATTAAAAATGAAGAGGAGGGGTGGGGGAGGGGGGATAAATGTGGACTCCCACAACCCCTTTCAAGGGTCTATCCCAATGATCTAAGGACCTCCCACAAGGAACTTACCTCAGAAAGGTCTGTAGCACCTCCCAAGACCCTCACCTGAGCCTTTAAAATAATGGACCTTTGCGTAATAAACAATTAGACAATATCCAAACTATAGCAGGAAACAATAGTGACTGTGGGAAAGAGTTGTTGATCCATGATACCACTGTCCCTACTTAGCCTCTCACCCCTAGGTCAGCCCAATCTGTACAAGCGTATAAACCAAAAAGAAGATGACAGTGATAACATTTGGAACTTTACCAAAAAAAAAAAAAAATCTTCAAAATGGTTCTTCTCTTTAAGAGAAGAACACATTTACAAGTGGAGAAGAGCTGCCCGGGGGATTCGCATTTCCTCAACCGTAATTCATCAGGGACTCTGTGCTTTCTGGTGGCTGGCATTCTAGTCAGCAAAGGCAGATGGGTGGTGGTTCTTGTTATTATAGAATGGAGGGGAAGTCATGGGGTGAGTCAGTGGAGAACTAACTGCCCCTTTATGATGAATCTAGGAGGTTCTAACAAATAATCAGTATGATTGAATAACCCCTTACATCCAGTGAGACTAAAACCAGGAACTCAGAAGAGAGAAGTTTAGGTTCAGCAAAGACCTGTCAAAGATATGTAATATGAACAATCTTCCTGCTGACTTGGTTCCTGGGTGGTTAATTGCCTGGGGAATTTTTCATTTGAAAATCAGTGTTTTCAGAAAGCATGTGACTTAGTCATGTAATTCAGCCTCTCACTCAACAGAGAGTCTCTAAGGTCAACCACTCAACCTCCCTACAGTGGGTCTTGGCTACCTCTCCAGGAGAACATTCCAGTTTTGTACATATTCAGTTTTTAGAAAGCATACCCATAAGACCACAGTGCAATAGTTATAAAAGAATGTGACTCAATTTCACAGGTGGAGGGCACATATCTATAAGGACATCCTACAGGATTATCCTACCCAATTTTTACAATCATTGTTTTCCTCCTAATGAACAGAGATACAATGTTAAAGACACAGAAATGTTTTCATAGTCTTCTTTGTTAGGCGAAGTGGTGCTTTCCTTAACAAATATTGGTCTAGTACATCATCTAGTAATTTTCAATAAAACTAGAAGTGATTTCTCCTTCCCATGTATTTCTATTAACCTGACATACCAAGTGGCAGTTTTGGTACATATATACATCTCAGCTCTCCTACTAGATGGTTTGTGCCATCAAGGAATTGATAACCATAATCTACCTTGGTTGGTAGTGAACCAGGGAAGGAAAGGATTGGGTGACCCATGGGCTTCACTAATTAGTGAGCTCAGTTGTTCTATTTGTGACTTATTATTTTATGAAGATTTTATTTCCCCAATTGAACTGCATATTCCTGAAGGGCAGGAATTACTTCTAATACCTCACTGTAGTTCACACACTGAGCACACAGAATCTCCCAGAATGTGCTTGATAACTGAAGAAAACCATGTTGTAGGTAGAACATTGTATATGTGTTAAGGAATTAACACAGTTAGCAATGACCATCAAGCCCCTGGTTCTACATTAATAAAGCATCATAATGTGAAGAGTACACTGCATTTATTTAACCTCATAAATTATAATCCTTTAACATATGTAAAAGTTTCATATTTTTAAAGTGCTCTAAAGAGATTTATGTTTTAAACAAGTGTGTTGTTTGTGTGTGTGTGGGGGGGTGTTCTTTAAAAGACATTTAATTTGTAGTAGAAAATAATATTGCCAAAACATCATGTATATGCTTGAATAACAATTTATCTTCTTCAAGACTTTTTTTTTTTGGTATAAAATACATAGTTAGCAGTACATGCCCAAATAATGGGTCTATGTGGTTGGAATTCAAAACCAATTTTGAATCTGCTGTCAAACTTGTCTTAATGGTGTCTTGAGTCACCTTGAATGACCTTGAATGGGCAGAGAAGCACATCAGGTCCTCCCGCAGTGCTTTTGAAGGTGAGTTTCCTTGCTGGGTGGTAGCCTGAGGTTAGTGGTCAGGGCAGCCATTCAGACTGACAGACCCTTGGACTTCTGTGGCTTCAGAAACAGGAACAGGGATGTGGTTGACTTGTATATTCTTCAGACAGCCAAAAAATGATTTCCACACTGGGAGTTTCAGTGTCTGCAAATTGGCTGAAAGAGAAAAGCAAGAGGGAGTCAGTGGATAGTTCAGAGTGTCAGACAAATGCACCCTGAGTTTTGCAAAAGAATCTTATTAGAAAGAGCTAAAGGGACCCCTGGTCTCATCCCACCCAGACATTTCCCCCTCTTTAAGCTGACGTCTGACTCTGCACCTGCTGCGATACATTGGCAGCGAGGCTACTCAGGTTCTTCAGAGGAGATTCCACAGCCCCAATCAATAGATAATAACTCTGAACTCTGTTGCTTTTTATGGGTCATGAAAGGCCTATAAAATTAACAACCAGACTATGTGGAAGGCCATAAAACTATAAAGAATGAAAAGGCTCTTTCCAGGCAAAATTCCAGCCTTGAACTCGATTCCCTCCCTGCCCACCTGATCCTCCCATTCTGTCCCCAGAAAGCCTCATAATTTAGCAGTAAAACTAAATGCTCAGGGAAGAGAGACACATTTTTCAGCCCCTTTCCTAGTTCTTTGCTTATATCAGGTTTCTGGGTTAATATAACCTCATAAGAGAGGCTTATAAATTATAGGCTTGGGTCAAGGGGATGCAGCAGTAATGTCACCTGGACTGCCCTGAAATGTGCCCCCATTGTTAGTACATGCTAGAGCGCAGGGCCTCACCATCTCCACCATCCAGCCAAAGGCTGTCCTGTTAATTACCCATCTGCTGGACGTGGTATATATTGAGTTAAAAAGAAAATGTTGAGAGCTGACATGGGGTAACGTGGATGTAGAAGAAATCAGAGCCAGAGTTACCTGGGACACCTCCAATGTGGAGTGTCTCTTGGGAGTTGTCAGGCAGTAAGGTAAGCTGTCCAGCTGTGTAGCTGTTGTCTGTGTCCAGTTCTAGGTGCAAGATGTGTTGTTTGATGGTGACTGGAAAGGAAAAAAAAATGGTTGGGTCTGTCACATGAGAGCCCTTCCCACTGCTTAACACCTACATGATTGTGTCACCATGGGCTTGATTTTAAACTCATCCCCATAGGACCCCTGGGGCCACTGTGTGTAGGCATTCTGACAGGTTTGGGATAAATTCAACTAACTTCTTAACACCAGGCAGTGTTAGTTCTTAAAATGAATCTACATGGAAGACATTATCATTCCCAGATATGAGACTGTGACTCTCTATGACCTGAGTAGAAGGCCTGGTTTAGAGATCTGGGATTCAAACCCTGGTCTCCTGTCTCCAGAAGTCAGGTTTACTTCATTGATCTCAGCTATTTTTTAACGAAGACACTGATTTCTGAAAACTGACATCAAAGATAGCTCTTGATACCAAATTCCTCCCATGTTGACAATCTGAGCGAATTGCAATGTAGTTAGCTTTCTGTGTAGTCAGGAAAAGATCACCTTTCACAAAAGGCATTCTAGCCAATTCAGGTTTACATATCTCTAAACGCATATCCACAGGTTATTAATAAAATAACAGATTCTATTTGAGAGGATCGGGCTGCTCTTTACCTTTGGTTTGTCTAAGTAGTTTGCATTGACATTAAATGATTGTTAAAAAAATAATACTTCAAGGAGCTTTAATAATATAATAGTAAAAGCAGCACACTCTGCATTAGACACTAGACCAAGTACTTTACACACATTTTCCCATTTCATGTTCACAACCCAGGAGGCATGCACCATTTTTATCTCAATTTTACAGTGAGGAAACTGAATATAAAGAGCTCTTAAGTAGCTTATCTTCCTCAAGGTCATCTAGGGTAGATGGATAGGCCTGAAATTGAACTGACTTCAGAGTCCCAGTCTGAATCACAATGTTAGATTACCTTGAAAAAAAAAATTAAGACTGTTATGGAGAGCTGGGGGCAGCAGCCTTGAACTATTTGAACACAGCTGGGGTTGAGAATGGACATTTTAACCTGGTGGGTTGACCCTGGTCACGTACTATGGATGAATGGACTGAAGCTACCTTTGGGCTATTCAATTCAGAAGTAAAGAGAGTGTTTTAATACATGAACAATAGGCTTTTGGATGACATACCTGCCACTGAGTGCCACTGTCCATCACAAAGAGACTGCTTTGGTGTGACTGATGTCAAGGTCCCACCTGCTTTGCTGTCTATAGAGGCAGTGACCTGGAACACACATGCATGTTGCTATTTCCTTCCAAAAGGTAGATGAGTCAACTTTCCCCTGCCCTCTTTCCCTTCCCTTCCCTTCCCTAAGCCTGGCCATGCAGACAGCCCTACAAGTGTGTTGAATAGTGGTTCCCAATTCCTGAACCTGATGATGGGGTCTAAGGCTCCTGAAAATCCCTCTGCTGCATCCCTCCCAGGCAAGCAAGCTGCAAATCTTACCCAGTTTGACCTTGCTGGCAATGGTGATGAGCTGTTTGTTCTCTCCCAATCCAAACCCTATCCCCATCAACCCTACTCAAAGGTTACTGATGAACACTCCATCCTCCTTAACAGTTAACATGTGACAGTGAATCTGTTGAGCAGATCATGGGAAATTGGAAGGCAAAAATGCTGGTGGAGTCCTATCCTCTGCTGCAAGGGCCAGATAATAATAATAACAACCCCATGAACACATTACAGCTAGAGCGTCATAAAACAAGAGACATAAAACATAAAACAAACCAACAGTTTGCTTTTGTACGGGGCATATATATGTTTGGCATCAGGCACTCAAAATGTCTTGTGCAGAATCCCACCTTCCCAGTCAGGGGTCCTTCAAGATCTTTCAAGGGTTGAATTAAAGTGAATAAAATGAGAGGACTAGAGTAAGTGTCACTGTAAATAATTTACATTTAATCTGCCTTTAGTTAAATGCACCCATCTATTCACAGGCAGCTCTTGAGGTCAACAATGTCACTGATGGCATGAAGGTCATTGGGTCTTGATTTTGTTTTCTTGAGATTATTTCCTATCCACAAACTCCCACTGGACACCTTATCCAACCCCTCCTCTGAAAATCCAGCCTTGTCTCATCTACCCAAAGATGGGTAGTTGCTTGCTCCTCTGGGCAACTGGAGATCTATTCAGACTCCAGTTAAGATGTTCCAGGGGCTGGGGATGTGGCTCAGTGGTAAAGTACTTGCTTAGCATGTAAAAAACTTGCTTAATGGTTCAATCTGCAGCACTAAACACAAACACCACACACACACACACACACACACACACACATACACACACACACTGATCTAGGAGTTTGGTCCATTTTATTCTCTTCTGGCACTTTTCCCACAAAGCTGTGGAAGAACAGAGATGAAAGAAAATGGCATAGTAGCAATCTTTGACTTGAAGACTATGAAAGGCTTCCTGGAAGAATATTTTCAAGAGACTTCTCTGAGAAGGAAGGAGACATGCTGGGTGGTTGAGAGATAAATGCCTTTCTCTAAAGAGCCTCCCAAGCCTCCCCAAAGCTTGCAGAAGGGGAATCCAAGGGCGTCACATCCAACTGGGATTGATGAGAGGGGAGAGACAGCAAAAGCATAAACTGAGGAAGGAATCCATGAAAAACCAAAGGATAGTCAGAGTGGGACCCAGAGACCAGCTTGGTTGTGGGGAGCAGAGGGCTGGAATTGTGTAGAAAATGAAGTTGGATGCAGAACGGATTCCATGGGTAGAGGACCATGGGCACAGGTGTGCCATGGTGTAGACAGCCGGTAGGAGGACATACCCTGTTGATTCTGGGCCTACACTTCTGAATAAAAGTAGAGATGAGGGTGGAGAGAAGAAGGGAAAATGAACATTTATGGGGTACATGGAAACCCCAGGAAATAAGAATTATTGTCCACATTTTATAGATGCTGCAAGTGAGCTGAAGAGTTTAAGCAACTTCCCCAGGGCCCTACAACTAAGTGGTGTATCTGGAATTCAGCCCAACTTGTTAGAGTTTTCCCAGTTTTGAAAAGAAAGAGGAGATAATATGATGACAAATTCCTTGCTAATGGAAAATAGTAAGGCAGCCTCAAAGCCAGGTCTTTTAAATATAAGATCAAGATCTCTTAAATACAAGCTCCACCTTCTCCCGTAACTTCACCTACCATGATCTCCAGAAATGAAATCTGGTTGCCGTCTACCCTTCCCACATTATCAAACTGCCACCTACCTTTCCTGCCTCCATATAAACACTTAAGTGCTGTCCTGGCTGACTTCCGATGTGGATTAGGATTCCAGTAAGACTTCTGGGGCGGATGCTGAAAACAAGCTTAAATTCTGGCCCCAACAACACAGAATTAGCTTTAAAAAAAAACAAAACAAAACAAATAACAGTTAAAACATCATAATTAAAGAATAAAAATGGTTCTCAAGACTTAGAGACATGAACTCTACTAAACTGCTTCTTACCTAGGATGATGTGACCTCCTCCTTGGGAGAAATAAATGCCTTTCTCTAAAGAGCCTCCCAAGCAAGGAGATACCCCAAAGCTCGCGGAAGGGGAATCCAAGGGCTTTAAATCCAACTGAAAGTTCCTCAGGCATCCCACAAAGCTGTTTTGGGGGAGGCTCTGTAACCAAGCAGAAAAGAAAGAATTCATTATTACAACTCTCAGAAATGCAGGGGTGGCCAACATGAAGGGCACTTCAGTCTGAAAAAGTCAGGAGGGCCTTCCTGTGCCATTTGGCTTCCTGCCCACAGTGTTCAAGAAAAACCTGCACACCACATGTGTGGTGTGTGGTCCAAGTTTGAAGGTGTCACCAAACCAAGCAGGGTGTGTAGGAGGGAGAGGCGGTGAAGGCTTCCAACTTGGGCTGGAAGAAGAAGGAGGAGGAGGATCCACCTGACCCTGGTCCATCTAGACTGAGCCACAACAGGGGGAAATTTCCACCCCACTGTTCAACAGAGCTCCTTGACTCTTTGTAGGAATAAAACCACTTCTTTGGGTTTTATGAGCCAATGTGCTAGCTTAATGCAGGGCAGCTGATTGAAAAACGAGGCCAGAATGTTCCAAAAATAATAAAGTGCAAAACAGCTCCCTACACCGTTAGGCTCAGTGTCCTTCCGACAAATCACGAATGCTGTAGTTAAAATAAGATGCTGTGTGCATCATCAGTGGGCTGGTGGGGAACTCCTTGCCTGCCTGAAGCTGGCCTGGAACTGGGGCTCCTCACCTGGGCCCACAGATGGGCTTTTTAGGATTTGTAACCTCTGGTACCAGATGTTCTCATTTTTCTGGGAAGAAGGACCATAAGGATTAGGAAAATTCTCAAAATATTTATAAAATTCTAAAAACAAAGTTTAAGAATCATTGAACAAAATCCCTTACCTCCCTTCTACAATAAATGCTTTTAGAACCCTGGACTCTAGACATAAGAGAGGTGATATTAGAGATGCATGTGGTACCAGGGTCAACCATAAGCTGCTGATTGGCCTCCTCGTGAAGTTTTTAGTTTCTTTTTTTTTTTTTTTTAATAAAGTTGTTAGTTTCTTAAGATTTGTTATGTTGTCATGTGACAATGAAACACCTGTGTCTGAGACCAAGTGCAGACTCCCCAGGATGGGCTGTAACCTGCTACTGAATCCCTAAGGACTGAGTACAGTTCTGGTGTTCAGAAGCACCGCTCTTGGAAAGATACCGAAGAGGACTAAAACAAAGGTTTATACCCTCAGGTTGTAGGAGGGTCACAAAATAAACCTTCCCTGTAAAAATATTTTCAATGGGTGCCACATTTGTCCAAATGTTGGGAAGCCAGGTGTGATTAAGAGAAGGTGACTTTAAGAGAATCTCCTCCTCTGAGAAGTGTCTGTTCAGGTCCTTGGCCCATTTGTTGATTGGGTTGTTTGTTCTCTTATTGTCTAATTTTTTGAGTTCTTTGTATACTCTGGATATTAGGGCTCTATCTGAAGTGTGAGGAGTAAAGATTTGTTCCCAGGATGTAGGCTCTCTATTTACCTCTCTTATTGTTTCTCTTGCTGAGAAAAAACTTTTTAGTTTAAGTAAGTCCCATTTTTGTTATACAAAATTACATATAAGAGGTTGTGAGGGGAATGGGAAAAAAAACAAGGAGAGAAATGAATTTCAGTAGATGGGGTAGAGAGAGAAGATGGGAGGGGAGGGGAGGGGGGATAGTAGAGGATAGGAAAGGTAGCAGAATACAACAGTTACTAATATGGCATTATGTAAAAATGTGGATGTGTAACCGATGTGATTCTGCAATCTGTATTTGGGGTAAAAATGGGAGTTCATAACCCACTTGAATCTAATGTATGAAATATGATATGTCAAGAGCTTTGTAATGTTTTGAATAACCAATAAAAAATGAAAAAAATTAAAAAAAAAAAAAAGAGAATCTATTCAGGTCAAAAGAATGCCCAAATTTTGGCCTTGAATAACTACTCATTTCTGTGATTTCTCTGAGAGACAAATATATACAAAGGTTAGAAAACAGTAAACATTAGTATTGAGGATCCTCTTTAGCACTGAATATGTTACATATTACAGATTATATTGTATACATATATTGCATTGCAATATACATATGTTTTATATTGTGATATACATGTAAAAGTTACTGAATGTAATAAATTAAGATAATGCTTTCTTGGTTGTTGGGGTTCTGGCCTGGACCTAAGCCCTGGCCAAAATGCAAGTGGGCAGGCTGTACCCTGTGGAGACACCTTGGCTTTGGCTAGGTCAGCCTGAGCTCTGGCGTCTAAGTGATAAAGACCTAATAGGATATTAGATATTATGTCCCTTTCCAAGTTCACGTTTGAACTTGGCCCCTCCCTGTCTCACCAAAAGCAAACACACCACAAGGTGCCACAGGCTCTTGAGGAAAGGAGTAAAAGTTACATTTAGGTGGAAGGCAGTTCCTAGGCCTGAGTTATTGACCATTTTGCTTACCTCTGTAGGAGAAAAAGGAACTCGGAGAAGAGACCGATGCACCAGGCCTTCCCAGGTATCACAGGTGCAATTTGGCCTCTGGATAAGAGGGAGGAGAGAGGCATGGGGAGGGCATGCCCACAGCTGGCCCTGGACTGAGGCCCCTGAGAGCCTTAGAATCCGAGAAACCCAGAGGAGAGCCTCTCTTCCCTGCAGACACAGGGAGTCCTGACTGTCCTTAGTCAGCATTCCCAAGTTGGGTTTTTGAGATAGTCTGTTATTTCAAACACTGAACAGCATTCGAGTAAATGTTGAGTCAGTTAAATTTTTCTGGAATTTCCCTTTTTGTGTGTACAAGCAGACTCTCTACCATGAGCTACACCTCTGCCCTCTTCCTTTGGCAATGCTCCTTTTAGCCCACTGGTGAGGACAAGGGACACATTTCAGCTTTGTGCTAATATATCTTAAACAGCCCTTGATCACTTGGCAAGCTCCTTTTTCTCCCAATGAAGAGGGTATAGACCATTATATCCAGTTAGACTTTTCTAATTCTGTTTTATTTTGCATATCTGTTTTTATGGCTACCTACTCTTTATGGCAAAAGATACTGGGTTTCCATTTCTGAGAGAGAGAAAAGGACCCAATTAAAAACACATTAAAATTCAATAACAAAGTATGAGAGAGCAAACCATGAAGTAAATCCTTTGCCTAAGTTCAGCAAGGACAGTGAAGGTGGCACAAATTAGCCTGGAATACATTATCTTAATTCAAAATCTCTTTAGGTCCACGACCTTAAACCTGTTTTCCTAGAAGCTGAGACTCATGTGTATAAAGCCACACCAAAGTTCCATATTCAATTTCTTGGGGTCTGTGTCTCAACCTGCACCTTAAAAAGCAAAGCTTCAGTATGGGGAGTGGGCACCTTCCCTTTGGTTGTGAATATTAGATATAAAAAGTCATTTAAAGTATTTTGAAATTCTTAAATATCTCATGTAATCATAATGGTTCTGATACACAGTGAATTATTTTAAATTTACAGTTACCTTTGGCTTCCCTGATGGAGATGATCCCAGGTAAATCTGTTCTCTGGTGCCAACAGTGAAATTTCCAGGCAAATTCCCCTCTTGGGCCCTCAGCCCATCTACAACCAAGCGCCCCTTTCCACCATCTTGCCCAAATGCCACCTTTGGAGGAAAGAGAATAAATGAATCAAATCTTTACCTCTGACAATTGATGCTGTATTTTATTACTGGTTACAGGAAATTTAAAAAAAAAGTTTTTCTAACTTTCAGCTAGCTTTTAAAAATCAGATGTTTTCTTCCTGTTTATGATCATCACCATGGTTTTGTGAGAATATATTAGAAGTTGAATACACTGAGCTAAAAAGGTGAGCTAAATAATACTCAAAAATGAGATTTGGAAACTTAAACAAAAGATGAACAACCAAAGGCATAAAAACCAACAAATATCTTTGCAACCAAGAGAAGGAGCAGTTTGATAGATCTGAGGAGTGGAAGTCACCACACCCTTAGGCAAGGCTCCAGGGCAAGTGAAAACCACTTCTCTTCTGCTAAGAGGGGCAAGTGTTTTCAACTCTTTGCTACACGTCATGGATTCTGCATCTTATGGCTCTGGGACTTTCATTAACACCCCTCTACTCTCTGTAGACACACCTGGTACAGTGTGTGATTGGACACTGCCCCCAAGGCACTTACAATGGAGCTCCTAGTCTTCTCTGGCCCTAAACAGCTACCTCTCTGGCCATATCCACCTCCTCTCTAGCTTCTCCATCTCAGGAAATGACTTGCTGTTGACCCAACTGCTGGCCCAGATCCTCCCCTCATGCAATCCCCCAACCAGCCCTCTTGCTCTGCCTTGAGAACATATGCAGACCCCCACCTCTTTCCACACCTCCACCTCAGCCTCTCTAGGCAAAGGCAATCACATCCATCTGGCCCCCACTTCTACTCTTACCCTCCTGTAGTTTCTTCAACTAAACAGAGTTTTTTTTAAAAAAAACATAAATCTATTCATGTAATTCTGCTTCTTCATTAGCTTAAGTCTCTTCAAAAACTTCAGAGACCCTTGGAATAAAATCCAAAGTCCTTAACTTGGTTTTCAAGACTTAAATGATCAGGCCTTGCCTCCTTCTCCAACCTTACTGCTTTGTGATTTGCTCACTGAGCTAACTTCCAATTCAAGGCCTTCCTATTTGCTGTTCCCTCTGCTGTTTCCCATAATTCCATATGAAGACCACTCCCTGCTGGAGGCCTTTCCTGACTACCTGACCTGAGATATAAGATAGCCGCCCCACCCTGCCTTGTCATTTCCCGCCCTTGCTCTGGTATTTTCTCAAGACACCAGTTTCTGACATGAAGTTGAGGATATTTTTGTTTACATGCTCCAAGAGAGCAGCTCATGAAACATTTGTGGAATCACCAAGTAAGAGTCATTCACTTGACTCAGGTCAGGTCACTTGAGTTTTCTGAGAACCAGTTTCCTCATTAGGAAAAAAAATTAAAAGTTCCCTTTTGCACTTCTGCTTTATCTTTTTGACATCTGGAATGCCTTTGGGCCAAAGCTGGGATTCTAGGGTGTGGATCTTCTTAAAAAATCTTCTTCTTTGGAAGGAAGGTGGGAGATGTAGATCTGCATATTGTGCTATGGGGAAGGCAGTTCCAGGACCAGAAAGAGGTCTAGCAGCCTGGAAGTTGGCCCTGGAGGACAGCAATGGCCCAAGAAGAAGGGGTGGATGCAGGCTAGGGGAGTGATGCAGCCCAGGATGGTGTGGTGGGGACTGAAGAACAGTGGGTCAAGTGCACCCTGGCACATGGGGTGTCACACACACAAGGCACGTGCAGCAGTCTCCAGTCTGATGCAGATGCTCAGGGCCTCCAACCACACTAGCTCTCCCTATGCCCATGCTTTAGTGCCTGAGAAGAGTGCTGGGACTTGTGTCTTTGGCTACTTGCATGATGAATTGCACAACAGTGGAATGTCCCTTATCTAAAATGCTTGTTACAGATTTCAGATTTTTTTTCAGATTTTGGAATAGGCACATAACAAAATGAGATATCTTGGGAATGGGACCCAACTCTAAACACAAAATTCGTTTATGTTCCATATGTACCTTATACCTATACCCTGAAATTTGGTACAATTACTTTTAGTGTGGCTGTGTTTTGACTGTGATCCATCACAAGAGATCAGGTGTGGAGTTTTCCATTTGCCAAATCGGTGTTTTAAAAATCTAGGATTCTGACACATTCTGGATTTTGGGGCATGCTCGACCTGCAATAGTGCAGCCCCAGCTCTTACCGTGTGCCACTTCCCATCATTGTATTTCTCTTTGCTCTTGAGCCTCAGTTTTTTCCCTTCTGCTCCCAATGCAAAGATCAGGCGTCCTTTTGACAGGTAAAGAGCCATGAAGGAGTTCCTGGTGCCCGTGTAAAACACCAGCCCTTTGGCGGACGTTGTCTGCATGTCCACAGCAAACTGAGATCTATGGGAAAAGAGCAACAGACAATGAAGAAAAACAGAGGTTTTTAATATTTCTCAGCTTCTCTGGTCTGGGAAAGTGGGTGGGAAGCAAACACTGAAACTCTCTTTTGTCACATGCATAAGTGAGGCGCCATGCATGATACCCTGGGATTGATTCCCAGGGCGGCAACAATAAAAACAACAAAAAAAGTGAGACACACATTAACTGACCTGTCTCTCTGGGAACTTTCAGAAGACATTCTAATCCAACTATGGATAATTTTTTTGGTACAAGTTCTTTACCACTTTGGGGGAATAATGAGGCACTCCTACGGCAAATTTAGCTGATGGTATAAATCCTAGCATGTGGCAAGAAAGAACATGCCTGAACTTCAAAGAATATATATATTAAGAAAATTAGGGTAAAATTTACATAATATAAAATGTACAATCTTAACCACTTTAAGCATATTGTTCAGTAGTGTTAAGAATATTCATAATGATATACAGTCAATTTCCAGAATGCTTTCGTCTTCTAAAACTGAAAATGTCTACCCATTCAACAATTGTCCCCTGTTTGCCTCTCTACCTAGCCCTTGGCAAGCACCGTTCTACTTCCTGTATCAGTGTATTTGATTGTTCTAGGTCCCCCATTTAAATTCAATCACACAGTACTTCTCTTTCTGTGACTAAGGAACCTAAACTCTTTAAATCCAATGAACATGCATCCTATTTTGTGTATATTCATGGGAAGTGTAGGAGGAGCAGGGGACAGCTTGATGACAAGGATGTGATTCAAACATTAGATAAGCATTTGTTTCTGTAAGACATTTTGAACAAAAAGGCACAGAGGTACAAAGTCACCTTCTCTACCCACCCCACACTTTTCTGACCCTTATAGTTCACCTATGATGGAAATGGAATCAGGCAAATACCATGGAGTCAAAGCAGAGTTGAAAGTTAATGCTTATTTGCATGAGGGTTCCTTATTATTGCCGATCTGGCTAAGCAAGTTTTATTTTCTATGAAAACTCACAACTGTCTCTCTATCCAACAATATTTAATGAGCATGTATAAGGATTATGCTGGGCTTTAGGAATGCAGCCATGGATGTTCCATTCCTTGAGTTGTTTATAGTACATGTGTGTACTGAGAGGGGTTCATGAAAGTGCAGCATGATAAATGTGATGAAGACATCGGTATCATCACTCGTTGTTATGGTTTAGATGTGGGTGACCCCAAAAAACTCATGTGTGAGACAGTGCAAGAATGTTCAGAGGTGAAATGTATAGATTACGAGAGCTGTAACCTCATCAGTGGATTAATCCAGTGGTATGGATTAACCAGGTGGTAAACGTAGAGAGACAGGGTGTGACTGGAAAAAGTAGGTCACTGAGGGTGTGACTTTGGGGTTTATATTTTCTCCCTGGTGAGTACAGCATTTTCTGCTTCCCCACTATCATGTCCTGAACTGCCTTTCTTGGCCAAGCCCTTCCTCCATGATGCTCTGCCTCACCCTGGGCCCAGAGCTATGGAATCAGCCATCCATCAACTGAACCTCATAAGCCAAAATAAACTTTTCCTTCTCTAAGTAGTTCTTGTCAGTTATTTTGGTCACAGCGATGAAAAGCAAACTGTCACTGTGGTTAACATCTAGGTACACAGGGCAGAAACGAGGTTCGTTCTGCTCACAGCTGTTTCCCCAGAGCCTAGTAAACAGTAGGCACTTAATAAAAACTAAATTGGGTTAAATAGTAAATGGAAAATCTGGAGGTAGATCTTGAAAGTGGAAGGAAAAAGTGCACTATTAATTCTCTTTGCTTTTTAATACTGCGAGGCTGAGATGCACATTTATTCTTCAGATTATCAAGTTTCCTAGAGGGCAACATTCTTCAAAATGAAAAAGCAACCCATATTTGTTAAATTCAACCACCCAGATGGTAACACCGCTCAGTGTTTCTCCTGGTGTCTGTGTGCCAGTGTGTAGGGTTGGGGAATGAGGCTTGGCCAATTTGCCAATTTTAAGGAGGATGCTGGAACTTGCTCCAGAATGTAAAGTACTTTGCATATGTGGGCTTGGTAATCAGACTTGACATTTGTTTCCTAGCACTGTTTTTTTAAAGCAATTTTCTTTCAGAAAAGACTAACTAACACTCCAAAAAGGCAGCAGTAGATCCAAATCCCAATCTATGATATTGTAGCTATGAATCCTCATGGCTGAAGGAAGGGAGGAGAATCTAAACAACATTTGATAATAATGGGACCGGTTTTAAAGGAGAATCAAAACACTGCCTGCCAGGATGAAAATCAGAATGAGAACAGCAGAATGTTATAAATCTTGTGACTCCCTGAAAATACAATCTGACTGCTATAATATTTGAGACTAAAATAACTTAAAAATTCTATTTGCTAAAGATTCTTCACTTTGCCTTTTAAAATGTTTCCGTTTCCACTTAGGATGGGTAACTGAGTATTGGATGCAAAGGTACTGGGCTTGAATCGGAAGAAGCGGCTGGTGACTCATCCCACTAAATGTGCTAAAGGAGAAGATGCAGGGGACGGGACCTGGGGAGGGCAGAGCTGGTGGAGAGGCCACAATGGAGAGCTGGGAAAGGACATTCCGGGCAGTATGTGCAGCTACTGTTCCTTTAAGAGAGATGGTTGTCACTGAGGTCATCTTGACCAAGAGGGCAGGGCAGTGGGGCATCCCAACTGAGAAGTCAGGGATAGGTAAACTGAGGGATAAACCCTACTCCCTCTATTTTAGTCTTCCACTTGCACAGATTTGGTAAATGAAGGATCCTTAGACTTTTCCTGAAGCTACTGAAGATCTGGAGCCACCTGCATAGGCTCTCCCCTTTAGAACACCGGCACTGCAAGGCCTGTCGGGCCTTCACACCCAGCTGCCTGTGAGTCACGCCCATGAATGGGGTTCATGGTTCACTGAATGGGGTTCCCAGGGCCTGCTTCATTCCAGGCCATTACCGCTCCTTGCTGCAAGGAAAACAGCATCAGCCCCATTTAACTGATGAGAAAACTGAGGTCCAGAGATACACAGCAGTTTGCTAAAACATATGAGCCAGACATGGAAAGAAAGCTTACACTTAGAAAAGTTACACTTTATGATGGCCACAAAGATGTGGTCCCTTCGTAAGAATTGCTGTGGGGCAGCTGCTGTGGGGCTACCTGCAGTGTCCTGGTAGCCCCCAGCTGTCACACCCTAGGATCTGCAGCAGCACTGCAGGCTGTTTTCAGCCAAGGACTGAGTGAGGTCATATACTAGAGCAGGCCACGTATGCATGACACTGAGCCCTTCTCACGGGTGGTCTGTGCTTGGGGGGCCCATGGCTGACTTCTCAGAACTGCACTATTGTATGAGGTCCTTGTACTCAACCCTCCTCCCTGTACCTCTTCCTTCGCAAATGTCTTTAGGACCCTCCAGCTACAGGTTGTCCCCTCACCTGCCTACATCTGTCCCTTCCTGGTCATCTTTCACAAGCTTTCCCACAATAAAACTCTTGCCCACCTAACCCCATCTTGGCATCTTGTCTCAGAGGAGTGGAGCTGGCCAATGTGTGGCCAAGCAGGGATTGCAAGCCACAAGTTCAAGTCCAGGTCTTTTTGACTCCTGGGCAATGCTCCCTCTGTAGAATACTCTTGAAGAAATGGTTGACACTCTTTTCTTTATGTCTCCTTCAAATCACCTGAAAATGACAAACCTTTTTTTTCTACTTTGTACCGATATGATTCATATCTCTCCTCCTCCTCCTCCAAAGGATGCAACTTGTTAGCATAGAAAGTCTAGATGCATTCTCTAAAAATGATCTACCTGGCACCAAGGCTACCTAAAAGAATGATTTTCCTTTCACTACAGAATGCAAGAGAAGAAAGGTGATTTGTCATTGAAATAAATAGCAGCTTTAGAAAAAAAAAAAATATCAGCCTTATTTTTAGAACACTGTCAATTCTAAACCGGAGCTGAGCTGATTGTTTCAGGCCCTGAGCAGCACACCGTCACATTTGCAATCCAGCTGTGAGGAAGAGCACATGGCAGGCAATCACGCTGCCTGTCCTGTGCAGGCTAGCACCTCTCTTTACAAAACTGGTCGGGCCACCTTCATTAGTGACAGGTTGCATGGTGTCATACGGCTAGACTTCCCTGGGGTAGAATTGCAGTTGGGTTCTGAGTTGGCACTGGAGCAGGAAAATTCAAAAATACCTGGGTTTCAGCAACTCCTGGGGAAGCTTGAATAGCAAGTGACTGGAAGGACTGTCCCCAAACTGGAGGGCTCCTTGATTGGTCTCGGCCTTGAGAGGTAGTGGGCAAGACTTCACATCTTTCCACACCTCCATGCTCCTCGGGGAGGCCACTGGTGTGTCTTGCAACAGCTGCATGGGAGAGGAGCAAAAAATTAGGGCAGCTAGTTATCAGGTGAAAGAGGGAAGAGTCTAATCTTGCCAAGTGCCTTGTTCAGTTTTCACTCTATTCTAAGAAATGGATTCAGTGGAAAAGTCGAAGAGACAGCAAATAATCCCATGGGATGGAAGTTCCCACTGAGAAACCTTCTGTGAACCTCTGAGTGACAGGAGGAGACAGAATGGAGAGTCAGCATGCATTCTCAGCTCCTTAACCCCACCACAGCCAGATCCACCCATGGGTGTCCCAGGGAGGCTTTGTTTTGGGGGTCTTTTGCCTCCAAGAAGGAGGAAGAGCTCATTCTTTGGGGAGACAAAGTTTTAGAGAATCTAAACACCCTCCCCCCTTTTTTTTAAAGAGAGAGAGAGAGAGAGAGAGAGAGAGAGAGAGAGAGAGAAAATTTTTTAATATTTATTTTTTAGTTTTCGGTGGACACAACATCTTTATTTTATTTTGATGTGGTGCTGAGGAGTGCGCTTCTGCTTGAGCCACATCCCCAGCCCCAAACACCCCCCTTTTTAAAAAAACACTCCCCCCCCTCTTTTTTGGCTCTGTCTTTGGGGAGGATGCACATTATTCCCATCCTGTACAGTTCCGGCCACTTTGCAGAAAGCTGATGGACCTGGGAACCCCAGGTATCCAGGGCCCCTCCCCATCATGGACTATCAGAAGAACCATGGTGTCCCCTGAGACAGCAGCACAAGGCCTCCATGGAGCCATAAGCCTGCCAACCCCTTCCTCACCATTCACGTGGGCTTTTGCAGCAGGACAGGTGAAAGGACTGAGAGAAGACACAGAAGGGCAGGGGGACCACATCCCGGCCTTATTTCCATCAGAGGTGACCCATGTGTGAGTCTGTCCTGTTTCTTCAGCAGTCACACAATCATCAAGATCAGTTTTGATAAATCCCCTTTGTCCTTCAGGGAACCCAGGCTCAAAATCTTGGTCATCATGAACACCTGCCTCCTTTGCCTCTTTGGTACACTGTCTTCACATCTTACTCTGTCTCTCTGTGACACATTTTTGTCTCCACTTTTCCTTTTCATTTCTAGTGCCTCTGCCCTTAAAGTCAGCCCTGACTCTCTTGCCAGGACTATTGCAGTAGCCTGCCAATTTGACCCCTTGTCTTTAGAATTTTCCTACATCAAATCATCCCCAAACCTGCTGCCAGTTTAACAATCTTTACTTTTTAAAGTAGCTTAAAACACTTCTTTCAATGGCTTTGCATTGACTGTTGAAGAACATTCAAGGGACATACTAAGCTTGCCTGATCAGATGCTAGTGTGTGATTCCAGTTATCTCTCTCCAGTTTCCTTTCTCCACTAAATTTCCCACTGTTCACCAAGCCTTTCCAGCCTGTAGAGGCCTGAAAAGCATATTATTGGAGATTTTGACTCTACTATTTACTGACTGTGTATGCTGGGGCAAGATTTTTTTTTAAAGCATTTTTGAACTCAATTTCCTGGCCCATGAAGTTGGTGTTTTATTTTGCCCTCAGAGGGCTGTGGTGCAAGCTGAAAGAGACAACATGAAGCCTTGAGAGCATCACAGAGGATGCTTGCAAAGTGTCTGGTACAAGTGAGTGCCGCCCACATCCTGCCTCCCAACTTTGGGCTTCAGCTCATGCTGCACAAATATTCATGAATCTAAACACAACTCATACTCCACATATCTCCAGCTCCTGGGTCATCCTCCAGAAAGATCCCCCCTGATTCCCATGACAGGAAAATTCCTGTTGTACCCCTTCTATAGCATGTCACATCCCTCTCATTTAGGTTCCTCTTATCATACACAGTGATAATAACTAATGTGTATTGCATGCTACAGGGAAGGCACTTTTCTAAGGGTTTTGTATTTATTTTCTCATTTAATTGTCATGCCAATCTCATGAGATATTATCACTATTTGTCTTCATTTACACTGGGGCAAAGAGACCCACAGAGAGGTTAAACAATTCAAGGGCACACACCTAGTCAGTGGAAAGGCTCCATGCAAACTCAGGAAGTCTGACTCCAAGGTCTATGACCTAACTATTAATTTATGTTGCATTTTCTCTGCTATTGGAAGCAGAATGATCTTCTTCTATCTACCCTGGAGCTTGCCTGGAGCAGAGAGAAAATTAAATAATGTATTCACTGGTATCTCCCATGGCAATAGCCCCAGTTCCACCCAGAGACACTGATGGTCCCTCCCCATCTATCTCCACCTGAAGACACCTGTCATTCAATATAACACAAACTATTCCTCCTTCCCTCCAAATACTTGTTCTCCTGTCTCTGTGGCTCTCTCAATGGCATCTCTGTCTACCCAACAATCCAGATTGGCTGACAAGGAATTCTCCTGCCTTTCCCTGGTCTCTCAAATCCAATTATTGTCTTATTTCAATATATTATATCTTCTAACTAGCTTTGAATCCATCTCCTTCTTTCCAGTCCTACCATCACTATGCTAATTTTGTATCTCAGTAGCTATCAGCCTTACAATAAAAAAAAATGAATACATGACTTAATTTCTAAGAAGGCAATTCTAAAACTATTCTTCTCACAGCAGTAAAATGACAACCCTTTGGAATTTAAGAAATGCATTTCTTCTTAATAGCAGGAAACACTTCTTCTTATGTATTATCTGTTCTCATGTCCCCGAATTATTGTAGAGCAAGGAAATATTGGTAGATGAGCAGTATGTGGTTGACATCAAGAGAAAAGTGTGTTGAACAAGGGCAGATTGCTCTCAAGACAGCATGGGCTCCTGGGTTGGAATTGTATCTCCACATTCTGCCTGGGGGAATATGGGCCAACAATTGCTTATCTGTCTAAAACACAGCATCCTTTTCTGTAAGATGTGCCTATTAATAGTACTTACCACAAAAGGTTAAGGATTTAGTATGAAAGTGTACTTGGAGCGCTACTGTAATACCTGATAGATCAGAGGTATTTGGGGTTAACTGTGACCTTAGGCCTGGGGAGGTCACACTGCTGACCTCAGGCAGGGCGAGGAATTCCCTAAATCCTGACCTGTGTTCAATTCATGACCACATTTTCATTCCTCTACACCAAGAATGGCATTTCCTTTCAATCTTTCTCAGCACTGCACATTAGAATCACCTGAGGAGTTTATAAACTTATGATTTGCTGGCCTAGTCCAAGGGCCTCTGACCTAATTGGGTCAGATGTAGCCTGAACACTGGGGTTTTAAAGTTCCTTGGGTGTTTCTAACATGCAGTTGATAATGCATATTATTGGCTTCAGCGAGGCCTGGGTGCATGTGTATACCTTACCTCAGGAATTGCACTAGGGCAGAGGTAATATCTGAGGGCAAGAGAAGTGGTGTGGACCTTATGTTCTAAAGAAAATCATTGGACTGCTATAGTCTCAGCACAAGTGTCAAAAGAGTATGACATCAGCTACAGAAAAAAAAATTCTCAAGTTCAAGTTCTGTTAGCAGCTATGCAGTTAGTTTTAGGGGCAATCATCTATATTGGACAGGGGAGCTGCTGCCCCTTTAGATGACTATTAGTATTCCTCTCAAGCTTTTTGTTTGTTTGTTATGTTTCCGTTGAAGCCCTCCAGAGAAAACCACAAGGAACTGGTTTAAACCAGCCAAGGCCTCACAGGCCCTCTTCCAGGTAACTTAGAGTAAAGATTGTTCATTATAATCTCAATATAACGTTAAAACCTCCACCCAGGGGATGAGTGTTCCTATCAGTCATTTTTGAACATGTGACATATGAAGATGCATGACTTCCAACTGAGCATGCTCAGAAGTGCACCTGCCTCTGCATGGGATTAGAGTCTTTCCAGTACAAGCCCTTTGTTTTCTTTGTTGGTGCAGAGGCACTGCTTTAAGAATGAACCCCAGTGTGCTCTCTGTACTTGTGACAGGCTGGCTGTCCTTATCAGTTTCACACTGAGAAAAGATCACCCACCTCTGGATAAAAACACTGCTGATAACAACCCTCAGGTGTAAGTAATCAACCTCTCTGCCTTCTTCTATCTCCAGGCTTTGCACTTACCCATTGCCTTTGGTTATATTTCTATTTGTTCTCTGACTGCAAACAATGCCAAATTTTTATCAAGATACAAAATAAAGGCTAAAAAGAAAACTCGCTTTGTCATTTGGTGCAATTCAGCCATCAATGGCTACCAGTGCTGCTTCATGGAGCCGCTGCCCAACATGGACCCAGTGACTGCTCATCCCCTGGCCCACCCTCTCCCACCAGGCAGGCTGAGGAGCATGCTCTGGGGAGAAGTCAAACTCAGGGTGAGGCTTTGACACTTACCTGGTTGATATTAAAAGTCTTGGCCTTGTTAAACCTCGTGGAACCTTTGAGCAACATTAGAAAAGGTGGTTTGTTTAAACTGCAGCCTCCCAGGGACACGTCTCTCTTGGTAGATTTACTGGCCAAATCCAGGACTTCAGGACTCTCGGATAACCTGGAAGGAAGGCAGAAGTGAAAGCTGCTGTCAAACTGTCACTCATGGAGGAAGACCCACTGGTCCAGAGAGTGCCTCATAAAAATAGCATTCTCGTTGCCTAGGTCAACTTCCATCACCTGCCTGTATGTCACATCTACAGGCCAGCAGAAGGGCTCAAGAAACTTTTATTACTTGGACTGTGGCAGGGCTAGAATACTAGTTCTTTCTTGGGAATGGGTGTCATAGAGAGAAATGTGAAAATCAAATATGCAGAGAGGGAAAAGATGGGCACCGGCTGATACAAAATGAGGGCAAACACCAGCAAACCTCTGAGTTTATGGAAGGATGCATCTGACTATGTTTGAGTAGAAAAGTGTCACAGCAGATCTGCTTTATCCCATGTTTGCTGCCTGAGACTTATGTCAGCCGAAAGACTAACCCCCTTCCTGTCTTCTCCATCACTCCCACCTCCTGCTCAAGGAAGATGTTACATCAAACAGATGGAGATTGAGAACTCTGAGCCTGATCCTGGCCAAGGAGGTTGGTGCCTCATGGGTGGTGGGAAGGGAGGGAGCACCATCAAGGCAGCCTACAAGTTCCAAGTACAAGATGCATGGCCAACACCAGGAGGACTTCTCTCTGCCTTGGGGAGGATTTTGCCTTTTATCTAAATCCAATTATTAAAAATTTCAGGAAATAGTTAAATGCTAGCATGCATAGAAACACCAAGCTCTATTCTTTCTACTAAAAGTCATGTTCAATGCTGTGGTGGTTTGATTTCCTATTATTACACTGGTCCATGCAATTCCTTGGCTTGAAAACTATGGTGAACTGATTATATCTAATTACCCCCATCTTGATTAAAATGAAATAAAACTTCAGGGTGAATATTTTTTCAGGACCATAATCTGAAAGTTAATTTTAGTTAGACCTTTTCCAAGGTTATATGCCAAAGCTGCCCTTCTACAGGGAGGCTGAAGTCAGGAGCTTTTTTGTTGGTTGGTTTGTTAATGGACGTCTCTTGCCAAAGAGGGTATTTTGGGAGTCTGCGGTGTGAGAGGCTTGTACAGCATGTTGATCGATCTGACTTTGCTAACTGGATCAATGAGATACCCTTCACACAGGCAGGCTGTCCTCAGAAGTTACACACGGAGAAAAGATCACCCACCTTTGGATAAAAACATTATTGATACAACCCTCGAAATAACTCCCACCCAGGAGGAGAGATTGCTGAGAAGCTGAAAAGCCTGATAGCCTTTGGTTCCTTCTCAGAGGCTGGTCATCAACGAGAAGTCGGAGGCTAGAAGAGGAGGAAAACAAAACAAATATAAGAACAACTAGGGAAAAAAAATACCACTCTGCCATCTTGGTCAAGTTGCTGTTTTAACCTAGACTCAATCACTATTACCTAAAAGAACTAGTTAGACTTTTTAAAGAACATTAAATTTTTTTCATATATATATTTTTCACATTACCTTTTTTATTAGACATTGTACAGATAGAGAAAGTACACATAACATAAATGTTTAACTCAACAGATTTCTGAGACATGAATACACCAACATAATGGCACCCCAAAAAAGAAACAAAATAGATTTTGTGTTCCTTTTTTTTCTCTCCAGCTTCCCTCCTTCTCCAAGAATAATCAGTATCCTGAATTTTGACTTGATAAATTAACTTGGCCTATTTTTTGAACTTCATGTAAATAAAATCACAGGGGATGAACTCTTTGATGTGTGACTTCTTTTGCTCAACATTAGGTTCATTCATGTCATTATATATAGTTCTAGATCTTTCTTTTTATTGCTGCATAGTATTTAATTTTAAATGCACCACAGTTAATTTATCTATCCAACTATTGATCTATTTTGTGAATGAGGAAATTAATATGGAACAAGGAAAAAGGCCAAGACTTATTAGTCAAATCACATTTGTATTAAGAATAAATATTTTGCAAAAAGGTACCAGAAAATTTAATTAAACTAGTAAAGTAGAACTCTCAGCACTTTTAGCAGAAATATCATCCCACTCACCCTGCGCGGTCACTTATTACAGATACATAATGCAGTAAGCCATCCATATATGTCTCTGGAGATTTAAAAATTGGGCCGTTGCTGTCCCTGGTGCTCAATTCAATGTGACCATCTTCCAGAGTGACCTGAAGGCTACTTGTCTGAAATCATTATAGAAGAAAGCAATTAATTTGTATTCAAGGAATATGAATGAATAAATACTGAATTTATGACTCAAGCCATGTGCAAAACAGTTAGGATGTTTTGACCCAGATGTTTTGACACAGTCATTTTAATCTAAAGATTACTTTTTGAATATTTTGACTCCATGTTTATGAATATAAAGATCTTAAGCAAATTAATTCAACTCTGATGAATTCGTCAAAATCATTTTGTTTTGGACTTTCTACATTCACTAAGCCAATTGTATTTCTCAGTTATACAAAATAGTTACATCATTTCTACATTTTTCTATTTTTACTTTTATTTGCTGAAGTTATTTCCATCAATTTTTTTCTGAATGTTTTTTATAGCAAAGAGTTGATTTGTCAATTTTTAAAACAGCAAATATGCTAATTATTGACCATTAAGTTCAATAATATTTCTTTCTCAAGCTTGATCCATTCTACTCTGACTCTTTGGAGATATACAATGAGCCATTTTAATAGTAATAGTGAAACTTCTGTAAGCAATGGTAAGTGATACAGGAATTTCCAACAATGATTTTTCCTCCATAAACATTATAACTATGTTTTCTTTTCTTTGATTATTATGAATTTTTTTTTTACTATCTGGTCATTATTTCTAGGAAGCAAAAATTCCCATGTCAAATTCTGCAGATCAAAATTTTTGGCAAGATGATTTCTCTCTTTTGGTCAGTTATTAAATAAAAATGTGCAATTTCAGCAGCTGTCATTCCAATTTTATTCATATTATATTCTACCAAGTATAAATTTTCATGGTACTCAGCAAGATGTGATTCTTCAGTGAGCTTTCAGTCTGTTTCCCCCCTCCCTTGGGGCAGGGGGACCAGGGATTGAATCCAGAGTGCTTAACCACTGAGCCACATCCCCAGCTCTTTTCATGTTTTGTTTTGAGACAGAGTCTCATTAAGTTGCTTAGGGCTTTGCAAAGTTGCTGAGGCTGGCTTTGAACTTGTGATCCTCTTGCCTCAGTTTCCCAAACTGCTGGGATTACAGGCATGTTCTACTGCACCCTGCTGTGCTGCCTTTTTTTTTCAGTTGGCAGTACTTATTTTGAATTGGTTCAAAAAATGCTACTTTCTATGTATTTTTTAGTTAATCCATTACAGAATTGAAGGCAATGTCCCTAAGATATTTCTAAGATTCCTCTATTATCCAGGATTAATGTAATCATTCACTAACTCTATTCTTCCATCTGCTTTTGACCATTTTCTGTGTTGTGTACTAAGTGCTCCTACACATGGCAGAGGAAGCAAGTATTAGTTGTCAAAAGAGCTCGGCCAAGACCCCCTGCTTTGATGGAAGTCACCTCCACTGTCAAATGTTGGAACATGCTTTTTTTTTTGATATCTTTATTTTGTTTACTTTATTTTTATGTGGTGCTGAGGATTGAACCCAGGGCCTTGCACGTGCTAGGTGAGTGCTCTACTGCTGAGCCACAACCCCAGCGCCTGACACATGCTTTTTTAGGACTAGTTTTAAAATTGTATATATATATATACATAGAGAGAGAGAGAGAGAGAGAGAGAGAGAGCAAGTTACCAAGAGAGGAGAGGTATTCCTAATACTAGGTAGCCTCAGAGTCAGTCCACTACCTCCCATCTTCTCAACGATGCTAGATATATATTACACTGGATAATCCTAAAGACACAAATCAAGAATGACAGTTTTCTATTTAAAAATTCCACTCATTCTGCAAGTGAATTTTGTGGAGTCTGTGAGAGTTGACTCGCTGACTCCTACATCCACATGGCCACCCCTGCAAAATCCTCTTGAGCTGAAGAGGGCACCCCCTAGCTGAAGAGAATTTCTAAGGCTCTGTTGTACATGGGGAGGGAGCAAAGGACCCTCTTTTCTGCCATCTCTGGATATAAATAGGGTTCAACCAGTTGCTGCCAAGAAAAGTCCCTAAAGAGCTAGCTTTTGTGTAATAAAAAAAGTAATGAGATAAATCTGGATTTTTTTTTAAACTTAGATTTAAAATTTAGCCACATTGTTATTTATAATAGTTATAATTCATTTTAAATCACAAAATATACCTGTAAAGAATGAAAATGAAGGGGTGATGGAAAGAAGATGTACTGGGGATTGAAATGGAGAAAACTATGTTATATGCATTTATGAATATGTCAAAGCCAACCCCACTATTCTGTATAGCTTTATAATGCACTACTAAAGAAAAGTTTTAAGATAATAAAAGTGAATTCATGGATACCCACAAATTCAGTTCTGCAAATTATTAGGTATGTCCTAAGCCTGATTTCTTTTAGGACCTACCCCATGATTGAACTATACAATAGCATTTGCCATGATGAGAGATAAAATGCCTTATAATTCTACGTTCAAAACATCTCTGAAGCTGGGCACGGTGGCACACGCCTGTTATCCCAGAGGCTGAGACAGGAGATCATGAGTTCAAAGTCAGCCTCAGCAACAGTGAGGCACTAAGCAACTCAGTGAGATCCTGACTCTAAATAAAATACAAAATCGGACTGGGGATGTGGCTCAGTGGTCAAGTGCTCCTGAGTTCAATTTCTGGTACCAAAACAAAACAAAACTCTGTTGTTTTTGACACCAAACCTTGAGTCAGGTTTAAACCTTGTTCAATATTAGGGACTATTTCTTACCCGGGTCTGATGATTTAACAATACACCACTGGGTTGAAAGGTCTGAAATCCAAATGAGGCCTGGAAGTGGTCCGGCAAGGGGAAGTCCAAATTGGTAAAACTCATTTGCCCTCCTCTGGAGAATGAGGCAGATCGCACAAGCTGAAATACAAATGTATTTCATAATGGCATAAATTATTGGTGCTATCAACATTTCATGGCTGAAATACAGTACCTTGCCCTCTATCACTTTACTGGAACTGATGAAGGTGATTTATGTAACTCAGAAAGAAACTGAGTTTTCTCTTCTGCCTAATAAGTTACCAATCATCTGTAAGGATTTGCACCTATTGCTGATATTCTTACTTTGCTACAAATTTAATATGCAAGTTGGAAAAGGATCTGTATCTTGCGAATACATGGGCAGTGTAGGGGGACCAGTTCGCGGGTATTGGTGAAAGTATAGGACAGAAAAAAGTCCAAAGTTCAGGAGATGGGTCAGCTGGGATGCACTCCGCACTCTGTTGCAAGGTTCTGAACCTCCACTTACCTTCCAGTCCTCGGAGCACTTTTTGGTGACTCCCACAGTATCATTCAACCGAACGACACCACTGGTTTTCTTCAGATTTTTCATGCAGCCTCGGAAAGCAGGTGTAGAAATGTTAAACCTGATGGAGGATACAGAATAGGATCATGTCAGGCTCACCTGAGAGTCAAAGCTGAAACACTTGCTGTCCAGCATTTCTCATCCACAAACAAGTTCCATACATTTTATGGCTCTCTGTGCTCATATCCTAACATGCTCTCTCAGAATTCCTATAATGTTGCTTATTTTATGATACTGGAATCATCTACCTCCTTCATTCATTGAGTGAGTCTTCATTCTTCACTTTAAAAATACAATAATGTTGACAGAAGAATGTCCACTGTCCCCAAAATGGACAGAGACAAAATATACCCAATATCTAGACCTTTCCACCCTCCACTCCCCAGAGTCATGGCATTGCATGGTAGATGGAAAGTATATTAATAAGTTAATATATACTTATTATGTTAACTTATATAAATGTGTTAAGAAATTTGTAAATAACATATAAGAACCCACAAACGCTCTAGAAAAACTTTTGTTCTTTTTTTTTCCTGTCCACTCTTAAGTGAGCCACTGTGAACTTGGAAGAAGTAAGGGGTTACTTTTTGGTTCGATTCAATTATGGAAAATGTGATGTGGTTTAACCATTGCTAGGCTGAACCAATGGTGTCATCTGGGTTCCAGGCTGTATCCACCTCTTAACTATCCTTACCATGTGTGACAGTAGGCCAGGGGTCACTCTGAGAATTAAGACAGCTAGTGTAGGGGAAAAGCTTCAGACAGTGGTGGCACATGGCTATGGACCCTCAGGTGTTCCAAAGGCACAATAGTGCTCTCTAGAGATGAGGGCTATCCCTGCTGTTTGAGCAGGCAATTTGACTTCTCTTTGCCTCTGTTTCCATATCTGTGTAATAGGATCATGTTAATGCTTCGTAGAGTTGTCCTGAGTTTATATAAGTTAATATGTGTAACACATTCCAACAATGGTTGGTGCACAGTGAGGATTCATCTTGAGATGGTGGGGGCTAGTGACCATCCCCATATTACCATACTATCATTATTATTATGAAAGCCATTTCTACAACACCTTCCTGTGATTTGACTTCTGGGTGTGTTTGGAGCTGAATTTACATGAAGCATTAACACATGTGAACTAACTGAAGCCCAGACAAATGTTTATATTTCTAAAACAAATGGTATACTAAGAAAAGCCGAAGATTTCATTATAAGTCCCTAGGGCTGCTCACTTTTCTAAATGGAAAGGTGTCTGCATTCATTTTAATCCAATTCATTATGAACAGTGGAGCTGCATGGAACACACATAAAATTAAATTTCATTAAAAGGAAAAAGCAGAAACAAATTCTCACTGGTATGGCAGCATGAGCTTAATTATTTTGTAAAGATGACTTTTTGGCCCAGAAGAGGAGGAAATTCTTGGAGCTGGTCTCTTTATATATATCTTTATGTGTTATGAAATTCTCTCCTGAGCTATCTGAAGGCCTAAACTTTTAATTTTTGGAGCTGGTCTCTTTATACATATTTTGATGTATTATGAAATTCTCTCCTGGGCTATCTGAAGGCCTAAACTTCTGTGTTTCTCCACAGTGCAGGGTCTGAACATACTTGCTAGAGGAACGTGAATGCAGGGTACATGTTGGTGTGTTAAGTATTCCCACACTGGGGCACATGTGTATGCATACTCTGGGCCAATCTGTCCACAAAGCTTATCTAGGTCCATGGCTGCTGTAGGCAGATTTCAGAGAGTGACAAGAAAAAAATATAATCCTAAACTCAGAGTGGGGTACTTAGTAAATCTTCAACTGATCCCTGATCAGTTTTTCACTTTTCAAGTTATTTTCAATTTTATAATCACATTCTGTAATGCAGTGATATAAGTTCCCAGAAAAAAGTTCCTTTTTGGTGTCAGACCTACTGGTATTATCAGGGATGTTCTACTCTTCTCCTGGGAAGCAGATGGGAGTTACAGGCTGTGATTTCTGATTAGAATCTTAAACATTCCAAGATATGGGTTCCCATTTCCAGAAGATACATCACAGGAAGAGAGGGAGACGCAAAACACCCACAAAATCCCTGGAGCAAACCTGCCATACTGCTAGTGTGTTTTGCCCCATGACAAGTTTGGATACTCAGATGTCCACAGGGGCCTTCCATGTATGCCAGGCATCAGACACCTCCCTCCTTGGGAAGAGCTGCCTGGTTGCCTCTACACAGCTTGGCTGTGGGTTATGGGTAGAATTCCTCTGTGTCCACCTACCTCCAGAAACCCACGTCAGAGGGCAGTTTCAGGATTCACTAGACCACCAATGGCCTCACTTAGGGATGAGGCAACCCAGAAACAGCTGAATATTGCTTAGTATTTTCTTTCTTTCTTTCGTGTGTGTGTGTGTGTGTGTGTGTGTGTGTGTGTGTGTGAGTGTTTTTCTGGGGATTAAACCCAGGGCCTGGTGCATGCGAAGCAAGCACTCTACCAACTGAGCTATGTCCCCAGTCCAGTATTTTCTTTCAAAAGTGTAAAAGTCCAGAGAAATCTTTTTACTTGCCTCTATTTCCTGCATTTCCCATTTTCTTTTGATTTTCATTGGAAACTGGAATATACTAGCCAGAAAAAGGAAGTAGCCTTTTTGTTTGTTTGCAACATTCTAAGACCAATTACTAGGAGAATCCTATATGTCTGTCTACATGTATAGGCATTTAATATCTGCGTATATATTTTCTTAGTGGAGAGAGATAAAAAGGCAAAGAAAGATTGAGTGTTGACTTAACCCAAGGCCACACCACTCTTCGGTGACAAATCCTAAACTAGAACTGCTCTCGCGGTCCTGCCCTCCACCCTAGTGGTCCTGGATTGGCTGGTGCCAATGTCACTGACCAGGGACCTTCTGCTAGTAACACACAAATGCAAACCTCCTACCAATGGTTTTCTTATTGTCTTCCCTGGAGAATTCCTCCTGTCTCTGGCTCTGGGCAGCGCACCTGTCTCCATAATCTCAATGCCCACCTGTCCCTGAACATCAGTCACCCAGGCTCCAGCCTGTTTTCTCTCTGGAGTTCCAGGCCATTCTTGCCACCTGCTTCTGTGCCTTTCCACCTGGCTGTGTCTCTGGCTTCTGAGCTCAGGCTGTTTCAGACTGAATATGTCACCTGTTCTTCCTCTGGTGCCTTTATTCACCCACATGTTCAGCCAAAAACCAGGTATCAGTCTTGACCACTTTCGTCCTTTACTAGCTCTGCCTAGGCAACTGTTAATGGCTACTTCTGGGACCTGCTCCCTCTTCCTCACCTGAACTGCTATTACCCCTTCTCCTACATCAGGCCACCCTCATCTCTCACCTCTGCTAATACTCTATCTAGTCTTCCAACTTCTCTGCCTGCTTCTGTTCTTCCTCTTCCCTAATCTGATCTCTGCCTTGCGCTAGAGTGAGATACTGAAAACCTCAAAGAGATCATGCCCTTTTGCTGCTGAAGTCTTTCCAATGACTCCTACCATGATTGGCAAGATCCCCTGTGGTGTGGCCTTGAGGCCCGTGTGCACTCTCATAGCATGTGCCATACTTGACTATCATGACCATCTCACTTCCTCTCTTCTTGAGATCTCTCCAACACCTGTCACATCCCTGATGCACACTAGGCCTCAAAAACACTTGTGTAGTGAACAAATAAACAATAACTCTCAAATGTACTCTGAAGTGCTGACTACCTAAAGTAGTCTCTTATTACACTTAGTTGAATAATATCAAGGGCACTGGCAATTCATAACTAGCTGTTCATGATCACATTACTATTTAATATTACTATTCAATATTAATATCATCTCTTTGACTCAATTTCTTCATTTGCAAAATTCAGGTATTATAGACCATGATCTGCAAGGGCCACCGAGTTTAAAGACATTCACTCCCAAACTACTAAGGTTGAGCTTTCCAATCTGAAGAATCACATGTAGGGCTGGGCACAATAGTGCATGCCTGTAATTCCAGCAGGTCAGGAGGCTGAGACAGGAAGATCACAAGTTCAAAGCCAGGCTCAGCAACTTAGCAAGGCCTTAAGCTAAATTGCTCACTAAATTGTGAGGTTGTCTCAAAATGAAAAATAAAAAGGGTTGGGGATGTGGCTCAGTGGTTAAGCACCCAGGGTTCAATCCCTGGTACAAAAAAGAAGAATCACATATATAAATGATCACAATCAAACATTCTAGGAGTATTTTAGCTTGATCATGAGGCTTTACAAAACCTTCTAGGATATTTTCATCTAACACGTTAATGTCAGTGATCTAAAAGCCTTTGGTACATTACAAACAAATTAAAAGAATATAAAAATGATTTCTGAGTGCATCCTCAAACTGGTAGATTTCAGACTAAGTTTTACAGCCTGTATGGAATGCATTTAATTCATCCATGGGTTCATTCATCCAAGGATGAGTCGTGTACCTATTCCATGCTTGTAGCATGCAGGGGGCTGGAAATACAGATGGGAAAAAGACACTGTGTCTAGATTCTTCAAGAGACTTCCTAAAGGCGGCAACCTCAGCTTTCAGGGCTTGATAGTACTCATCAGGCCAGGGGACACCTACCCTCTCCTTGCTACCTTTACTGGCCAGGGCCACAGCCTCATTCTACTTGTAGGCAGCGTGTTCTTTGTAGTTTCTCGCCTCCCAGGGATGACAATAGGGACAACACAAAGTTTCCCCTATTTGAACAGCCATTTTCATTATTCAGTATCTGCAATCTGTGAACTATACTGTTAGAACTGAAAAGTTAACTGTGGCCAGAATTAAACAAAGTAGACCAGGGTTTTTTGACGGCATTCATTACCAATATAAAAGGTGATCCTTTTTTTTTTTTAAACATAACAAATCAAAACATATGATCTTACCTTTCCCTGATTGCAATTGGAATTCCTCCAAGATAATATGTGCTGAAATCAAATATTTCCCCCTCGATTTTAATGTTTTGATTATCCACATTTATCCGCATAACTTTTTGGACTCTTCCAATTTTGATCAGAATCTGAAATAAATGAGGTAAATCAGAAAGCAATGGGAAAGAAAAGAATCCTATTCACATGAATGGCCCAGAGCCATTCAATCTTTACTTTTCTTCAGATTCATTTATACACATGGTACAAAGATTGCAGTAGCAGTTTGGGGTAAAAAAAAATCTGATATGAAAATATTTTAATAGAAATATTTTTATGTAAAATTAATGGTTTATATATGTCATATATATTATCTATTCTGTGCCTAAATGTTCAAATTTTATAAAGAATGTGTCCCTCGGTTAATAAAATAAGTCATTCTGGTAATAAAAGGGTTTGTTTTTGTCTTTGTTGGCATTGAATCAATTTTAAAGGTCTATAGACATTTAAAAATTCATGTAAACAGACTCGAAGGTCATACCAGATGATCTTTTCCATTGTTGATGGTATCCCTGATTCCTTTCTCTTTGGGTGGCTCTGAATTCAGCTTGTATCTCACCATGAGGTTGCCGTCTTCTATATTTAGGGATATGAAGCGATCCTAGAGAATGGAAATGATACAGATTATCTGGTGACCTGGGTGAAGAAGGGCCAAGGCCCTGAGAATCAAGTTATTCTTGATCAAAACCTGTTCTCAGCTCCAACTGTCTCCTGAGTTAAGAGGGGTAGCAGTGCTATAAGAGCCATCACCGGATGGGTGTGATGGTTCACTGCTGTAGGTGGTGATGAGAGCATCATGCCTGGCACTCAGGATGGACACAAAACATGGTAGTGTTTATCATGATTTTGTTTCATGCCCATCCATAGCCCATCCACAACAAACATGGAAACTGAAAGGATAGAGAACATTATAGTAATTTGAAAACATGAGCACTACCTTTCAGAGAGAGAAAAATCCCCAGATATTTTCCACCACCTGTTTTCTGATTTACTCCTACGTCTTGGTCACTTTGCTGCCTCCTCCCCTCTATTCCCTATTTCAGTGTCCAGGTCCTGCGAGGCTCCCGCATGGGACTCCTTCTTTCCCTCACACCACTCCCTTTGCCTTGATGCTCATGATTGCTCCTATGGTTCCAGCTCAGCTGTGCTCATGAAACCCAGATGCTTCTCTCCAGCCTAGACATGTCCCTTTGGGGCCAGGTCTGTATGTCTGATCCCCTAGTTAGTGCTTGCATGACTAATGATACCTCAAATTCAAAATATCCTCAGAAGAATTTATGATCTGCATGCCTCCCATATGCTGTCGAGCCGAACCTGTCTTTCTTTTCTTCATCCTTTGCACATCTCCCCCGCTCTCTCTCACTCATCATCATCATCATCATCATCATCATCACCTTCGTAAGCAAGCCATACCCTTCAGAGTCATTCCTGGTCTTTCTCTCCCATCCAATCAAATCTTCTAAATTCTTTCATTAAGTCTCTCACATCATCCCCCTGGTCCCAGCCACAATTTCTTTAGCTCAACTGCATAGCAATAGCCTGCTAGTTTCCCTGTGTCCCTTCAAATCACTTTCACTCGGCAGCAAGAGCAGCCTTCTGAAAATTCCAGTGCAAGAAACTTACTTTCCTTTGTTTTCAGACACATTCCTGATGCCCCAGCAGATAACTGCAGGGCTGAGCATCTCTTCCCTTCATTCCTTAGCACTCCCTCTTGCTCTCCAAGTCACAACCACACAGGTCACCCTTCCATCCCTGGGCGCTCCTGGCTTTCTCACCCCTAGGCCTTCTTTGTGTCCCTACCTCTGCCAGATCCTGCATTGCCCTGTCCCCCAAATACCAGTTTCTACTTGTTGTTCTCGGTCTCTGTCAAAGCATCCTCTGCTCAAGAAAGTCTTTAATGCCATCAGCCTCATTTTCCCTCTATACAGCTCCTTGCAATTGGAACAGACTAAGGACCTATTAATAACATGCTTTGTGTGACACTGGACATCCCCTCTAGAGGACAGGAACCGTGTCTGTCTTGACATTACTGCCTGGCTGTCATGGAGCAAGGCATGCACTGAAGGCAGCTATTTCCTCTGTGGTCAGATAAGCAGAGGAATTTCTGACTCAGAGCTTCAGGCTTTGCTCTTACCCAGTCCCCTAACAATAAAAAGCTGTTCCTTTGAAGCCCAAGGCCAGAGTCTTCATCTGAAAAGAAAATTGGTCAAAGGACCAATTTTTCTAGATCCTAAGCCTTTATTGTTGAGAGTCAGGTTAGAGTTTATCAATCCACTAAAAAGAGTAACAGCAGCACCCAGAGAGGAAGGAACCATCCTGCTTAATAGCAGCTCTGCATCATTTCTTACACAATGACATTATGTAAGTTTTCTTCTAACATATATACTATTTCTGGTTCTTAGTCTTTAAGAAGTTCAAAATGTAGTACAGTTTGAGCATCCAAACATGAAATTCTTCAAAACCTAAAAAAAAAATATTTTTTGAGCACCAATGTGATGCCACTAAGCTGATGGTTTAATGTATACAAATTTTGTTTCATGCACAAAATTTTTAAAAGTATTGTATAAAGTTGTCTTCAGGCTATGCATATAACATACATGAATTTCTTGTTTAAACTTGGGTCCCATCCTCAAGATATTTCGTTCTGTATATGCAAATATTCTGTAGTCTGAAAAAAAAAATCCCAAATCTGAAACACTTCTGGTCCCAAGCATTTTGAGAAAGAAATATTCAACCTCAAGAAAGAAGACCTTGTTTCAGAAAACACTGAAGGCATTGGGCAACTTCTCACCTCGTAGCATCCTTCAGGCTGGTTGGGACCCATCAGAACTAGCTCAGCCTCAGAATCTCCTGAAGGGTCCAGACCAACCCCAGAGAGGAGAGCTAGGCCAGGTCTGTGTCCCTACCCTGCAGGTAGAAGGGGCTAGTAAAATCTCAAACTCCATATTCTCAGACTAGAGAGCCCATGGTTTGATCCACATTTCTTCCAAAATATTACCTGTGAGAGCAGCTACAGGAACTCCTATTCCCAGGAGCAATTCACTGAAAGACCCAGGGTGGCTACATGGGAGCCAGAGCAAACCCACCTACTTTCCCTAGACCAGCAGGTGGCACTGACGATCATTTGTTGAGTGTGCCTTTGGATTTCTCTGACATAATGAACTTAAGTATTTCATGCTTGTATAATTATACCAAAATGGATTCTTTTTTTCATGTGTAACTAAAAAGAATCAATGAAAAAGAAGGAATGGTCCTCAGGAATCTCAGCTGCTTGAATGTTCCATGTCTTGAGAAGTCAAGAATTAGGCTGGTAAAGAGACACCCCGGGGCAGCCTGGCAAGAGGCAAAGCAAGATGGAATAGCAGGAGGTCACATCAGTCATCTGGATCTCAGAGACCCCAGGAGGTCTGCACTTGTTCTATGGCACGATAAGTAGATTATTAGGCAAGCAGTATTTTTCAAAGAACAAAACCAACACCAAAGCCGGGCTCGGAGGTACATGCCTGTAGTCTCAGCTACTTAGGAAACTGAGGCAGGAGGATCCCAAGTTCAAGGCCAGCCTCAGCAACTTAGGAAGATCCTGTCTCAAAAAATAAAAAAGGTCTGGGGTTATAGCTCAGTAGTTAAGTGTTCACCTAATATGTGCAAGGCTCTGGGTTCAATCCCCAGCACTGTAAAATATAAATTTAAAAATAATTTTGAACATACTCTATATGCAAAGATATGAAAAATTGTACTCTATATGTGTAATAAGAATGGTAATGCATTCCACTGTCATGTATTTAAAAAAATAAAATCAATAAAACTAAAAACAAATAAATAAAAAATAAAAAGACCAATGTTGAAGGGAAAAAAAGAATAATAAAAAGACTAAATTGTATTAAGCAAAATAATAATAATAATAATAATAATACTGACAAAGACAATTGAATGGGAGATATTTTGTCCCCATTTTGCATTATGGTCTCAAATTTCTGATTACTCTTCCTCATCAACACTCACCATTCCACCCTGCCCCCAACCAATAGAAAGAAGCAATTGGCCAAGAGAGAGGAGGCAGGCCACCTTTGCACATTGTTTTTCAGATCTACTTGGTTGTTTATAAATAACCCAGTCATCTGCAAATTGCTACACGGAATGGATATTTTGTTAGGTTCCGAATGTTTATATATTACCTGGTTTTCTGCAAAGAACAGCAAACCTCTATCCACGGTGGTCTGAATAGTCTGTCCAAAGGTTGGGATGGGAGCGTTTGGTTGAGTTGGAACTCGAGCATAGCCTGTACCTTCAAAATAGTTTTTGTCTGATTCTTCCTTTCTCCTGTCAACAGCAATCATTAAAAGTTAGAACACTGCAGCAAGGGATCACTGTGCTAGTGTGCTACTGATATGCTGCCATCTGAAAAGTAGGACAAAGAATATGCAATCTAGGTGTCATGATTTTATTAAAGAAGAGGGAATACATTTAAAATGTTAAAAGAGCCAAAATTTTCTCCTGGACATGCTCTTATCCCCTATATCAAAAAAGGTAATATTCAAGAATCCTTTTTGGAAATGGCTGATCACAAGGAAGTGGCCTACAAGCTGAAGCTCTTAAAATGTTGAAAAGTACTCATTTGAAATATAACCTTATTCTGAGCAATAAATGCTTGACCTAGGTCTTTTGACTCTTCCAAGACTTTTTCTTGGGGGGGAGGGGGGCTACCAAGGATTGAACTCAGGGGCACTCAACAACTGAACCACATCCCTAGCCCTTTTTTGAATTTTATTTAGAGGAAGGGCCTCAGTGAGTTACTTAGCACCTCACTAATTGCTGAGGCTGGCTTTGAACTTTGGATCCTCAGGCTTTAGCATCCCTAGCTGCTGGGCTTACGGGCGTATGCCACCACCCTTGGCTGTTCTAAGTCCTTTTAATTGTAAGGATGGTTAGAAGCTCAAAGCAGCAATTCTCAAAAAACACCACTGTACCTACAAAGTCATTCACTTTGCATATCACTGTTTTTAAAATTTAAAGTAAATATGAAATTTTGTGTCTAAAACAGGTAGCATCTTGTGGTACGAGACATCAAAAATTTAAGAAATATTTAGTTTTTTAAAAAAAATTGAGAAAACTCTATCAATCTAATGTTTTATACAATTTGGAGAAGACTGACATTATGAGATTTTCAGGATGGACTAGCAGTGTTGCATGCATAATTTAAGAACTACTGACCCAAAGCAGCAAACAACATCAACAGCTTCCCTAACCACCCTTTCTTACAGGTAAATGTACTGCAGGTTACCCACCCAGTTACAGAGACACTGACTTCTAGATTTCATTTACCTTCTACAAGGCTCCACCTCAGTTGTGTTGAGATTGAAAGTTTTTTTGAAGTTGTACAAACTCAGAACATTTTCATTGAGGTCATCTAATTCAATACAACCTTTGTATGGAGGGAATCTCAGTCTACTGGGAAGCTGAAAATGAAACAAACAAAACAAAATCTTCCACTAATTGAGCAAAGGAAAGTAATAAGGCTAACAAAAAAAAAAAAAAAAGTATAAGCCTATCACTTTGAACAGTCAACAGTACGTAAGGGTTAAGAATGTGAGCCCTGGAGCTTGATGACCTGGCTTTGCCTTTGAATAGTTGTATAATCATGGACAAGTTACTAAACCTCTTTGCTTCAGTTTCCTCATCTGTCAAATGCTAATGAAAATGATGTTTACTTAAATTAATAAACTTAAGGTTTGAAGAGTATACAGAGGAAGTACTCAATTAGTGTTAGTTATTATCACTAGACGTGTTTAAGAACATGGTCAAATCCATTATAAGATAATTAATTAAAATAGAGATGAATCCTTATGTTATTTTAAATTTATGTTTTCATTCAGGGAAATAACATTTATACTTACTTTAAAACCAGGTGGGTAACCTCCAACATAAAACACAACATTTTCAGGATCCAAATTAAGGAGTGTGTTGCTACTTCCACTATCCATGTCATGGAATTGGGACGCTTTGGGTTTATTGGAGGTGGCCTCTTTGGTGTAATTAAGCCTTGCAAACTGATAAATTCTGTTTAAAATTAGATAATAGAGTTATAAGAAAAATTAAGGAATTCAAAGCCAACATACGAAAAATAGCGTTTGTCAACAGATAAATGAAGAGTTTGAGGAGTGTAGGTCAGGTTCACAAAGAGCAATATCAAATCCAATTTGTACCTCTGAAATTTCACCCGGTCCATTACAGCCTCCTGGGACTCACTCTCAGTCAAGGTCTGATCCACCTGGAGCTCTGCCTCTCGTTCTCCCAGGTTGTACACACACGTGAGCTGGCCATCCACAACTGCCATGCCAATGTAGTCCTTGGAAGCCTGGGACATAAAGGCCACCTCAGAACCCTTCAAACACTTATGTTTTCTCAACTTTCCATCCCAAGAAGATCTCCAGAGTTTTACTTCATAAATTAATGGGTTTTACGCATTGAGCCTTGGGCAGACAGAATAAATGAGGTGCATCCTCTTATAAACCAATTAATTTAATTGATAATGTCTGGGCCATCTTTGCTCATGTTATAGTGCCTTTATTTCCATAATTCCTCCATTTTCTCAATCTCCAAGTATTTCATAGCACCTGTCATACAGATAGACCAGATATGGACTCAGCCATCCATTAGATTTCAATCTGGTAAAAGAGAGAGAGGCCATTTTTGTTCTGTTAGTGCATGCCATACCCTCTTAACCTTTGTAACTGTTTCTTCTGCGATACCTCTATTTTGCCATGTCAGCTATGTACATATCTTTCCTCCTTCTTAGAACGTGAGCATGTTGAGGAAAAAGTAAATCTTTAAAAATTGTAGTGAAGTATACATAATATAAAATGTTATTAAGCCATTGTAACCATTTAAAATGTACACTGTCATTTAGTACATTCAAGAAATAAATTTTTGATTATCATAAACACAAGGTGTGGTAGATAATAAGTGCAGTCTCCCTCTGTTTTTAGGGAGGATTGGTTCTAGGACCCCCAAAGATACCCAAATCTGCAAGTTCTCAAGTCTCATATATCAAATGGCATAGTATTTGCATATAACTTATGCACATCTTCCCAAAGACATTAAATTGTCTCTACATTACTTATAATACTTTATTTAATGTAAACATTATACAAATAGTTCTTAAATTGTATCATAGAGGGAACAACAAGAAAAATATCTATACATGTTAGTCCAGATCTTTCTTTCTTTCTATCTATCTATCTATCTATCTATCTATCTATCTATCTATCTATCTATCTATCTATCTGTTTTGGGGTACCAGGGATTGAACTCAGGGGCACTCAGCCACTGAGCCACATTCCCAGCCCTATTTTGTATTTTCTTCAGAGACAGGGTTTCATCGAGTTGCTTAGCACCTTGCTTTTGCTGAGACTGGCTTTGAACTCGTAATCCTCCTGCCTCAGCCTCCCAAGCCACTGGGATTACAGGCATGCACCATCATGCCCAGCAGATGCAATTTATTCTTCTCTGGACATTTTTGATCCATGGTTGGTTGAATCCATAGACGTGGAACCCATGGAGATGAAGGTCTGACTGCATATGGTGTAAATTTGTTGAAGGCATAAAGTAATGTGCATTTTTTGATAATACAAAGCAAAAAGTCATGTCATAAGGTGACTACAAATAAAGTGCCAACATTTTGAAGCATGAAAGTGTAATTAATAGTACTGTTGATTTTAAGAATCTAACACCAACCATTCAAAATTCCTACAATGGTAAGGTTAATGAATTTGGATGATAAAAAGGTGGGGCACCTGCATTTCTTATTAGGCAAGAAAGGCTTTGTTTCACGTCCATTCTCATCCATGGATGATTCCCACCCTGCAGAATTGAGGAAGGGTCTGTGGCTGGGCCTTCTGAGGAATATAATAGAGTCATGCTTCTGTGAGAAGGAGCTAAAGTTGATTTCCATGAAGTCTTGATATTGATGCCCTGGCAGTGTGGAGAGAGGATGCCGATCCTCCTCACTCACATGTGCATGTGCTCACAGGTACACACACACATGTGTCCACATCCTGAGTCAACCAAGTAAGGCCACTGGATCCATCAGCAGCTAATAATCCATGATGGATGGACATCTCAAGTGGCTGTCCCCACAGCAGGGAGGTGTGGTGAGGGGTAGCCGTGGTGGGATTTCCCATGATACACTAATGGCAGGGATGTAGTCTCAAAAATACACACCTCCCAAAACATTCTGCTATAAAAACAAAAGAAACATACAAGCAATACTTACATCTTTATTTCCGAGGTACATCACAAACATATTCTCAGTCCCCCCATTTTCTCTTGAGTCAGGTCTTTGAAGAAACAAAGAGAGAGATGTGTATCCTTTCAAATCTTCGAGGTCATTTGGAAGTCGGACTTCAACGCCAGATTTACCATTGAATCTCATGGGGACTGCGACCTATGAGGAATGATCAGGTGTCAAATGTTCTGCTGCAAAGACAGTGGTGTTCTCACTGTCTTTGTTGTTGGCCCTATCTATCATCATCCATCAGCCCTTCCTGAACAGCTCTGATAAAAAACAGGGAGTATGGACATCTCCTGGACCCAAGTTACAAACTCAGGATGCTGTTTGAGGAGCCAGATAATAGGGTATTCATGCTCTCCCTGATATTAATATTAATAAGTAGTCATAGTGGTAGTATTCCAACTCTGGATGAATTTTATACAGAAGTTAATGTATGATTATTGTTAGTGCATGAAAGCACTTGGCATGATGTCTGCATATGGTAGAAAGATCTATAATACAGCAAAAATATTTTTAAATGCATTTTTAAGGAATGAATTCCCATGAACATATTACATGTTATTGTTGCATTTATTACAGGCATTCAGTCTTTAAAAGCGCATGAATGCATGCATTAAGTCTCTAAAATAGTGCCTTTTAGAATCTCTGTGGTGAAGGGCCTTTTTTCCCCCCTCCAATCGGACATGGACCAATACTTTTGTAAGTTGGGAATATATTTTATGTGTTAAAAAAGATGTGGGGATGGGGTGGGGTACAGAGAATATGCCTGTATTTTTATCACCACCTTAAGAAATAAAACATAAGGGATATAACTGTCCCTGTTCCAATCTCTCCCTTCTCAGAGGTCACCACTACTCTGAATTTAGTTACATACAAATTTTTATGTATTTTAAATATTTTTTACATATACATTTATCTACTCACTCTAACTAGTCTTATTTTTCATGTGTTAAATATTTTACACAAACGGTATCTGCCTGTACACATCCTTTTCAACTTGCTTTCTTTTCTGGGCACTATGTTTGTAGATTTATCTGTGCTAATAATGCATTGCTCCAGCTTCTTCACATTTACTATTGCAAACTTTCAGCTTTTCTCAAAAAAACAATTATCACGAAAAACTGCTGCAATGAACATTCTAATACATGTCTGTTAGTGCTATCCATTAGTACCACTCTGAGCCCTTTGAGGTAAATTGGGACTTGCTAAGACATAACTCTATTCTTATCAAAGTCTAAGAAACCATTTACAGTGGTTGGTGGGCAGCCTGAGTTCAGGACAATGGGTTAGTTATTTCTGTGTCCTCATACCCAAGGCAGTACCAGTGCATATCAGGTACTCAAAAGCACTGCCTTAATTTTTTAAATATTATTTTCCACTAAGGCTACTTACTATCTGCCAGGAACTGTTCTACATTAGGTCATTTGACTCTAACAGTCTCTTGAGGTTGGTATTATTATTGACCCTACTCCACAGATGAAGAAACTGAGGCACAGAGAGGTGAAGTGACTTGCTCAAGGCCTCACAGTTAAAAGTGACTGAACATAATTAAACCAAGACAATCTGGCTTCATTCACCAGTTTTTAACCACTGTGCTATAATACACTGCTAGTCTTGTTAAATAAACTAGTGAATCAACTCATAAGGACAAAAGCTACAGATACATTCTTTTTCTTTTGGTTTTTGCAAGGCATGCACAGGAATTAAAAGGGGTAGTTTCTTCAAAACTTTCTCTTTTGCTAAAGGTTCTCTGTTGGGATTATTTCACTTTCCTAAAAGAAAGAGCAGTTGCTGAGGCTGAAAATAAAAAAGTAATATTATGTCTAGAAATCAACCATGGTGCTCCAGGACAGTGGTATTCTGCATTGACCTTCTTTCCCAAATATCTCACAAAAAGCTGACTAGGATTGCATTGCAAAATACAAGGACTTGTTTTGAAATACAAAGACTTTCTTTACAATAATTCCCTCTCACACAAGGCCTTAATTTCCAAGGTTTCAGTTACTCATAGTCAAAATCTTATTTTTGTGGTCCAAAATTATTAAATGGAAAATTCCAGAAATAACTAATTCATAAGTTTCACAGTGGACACCACTCTGAGTAAAGTGGTAAAATCTTATGTTATCACACTTCATTCTGCCCAGAATGTGAATTATATTTTTTGTCCAGAGTATCCACACTCTATATTCTACCTGCCCGATACCCACTTAGTAGTTGTCTTGGTTACTGGATGGACTGTTATGCAATCTGAGTAACCCTTACGTAGAACCCTAATGCTATATCATGATGCCTACACTATTAACCTCACTTCATCTCATTGTGTAAGCATTGTATTATCTCATATCAACACAAGAAAAAAGGTGAGTACAGTATAATGTTATTTTGAGAGAAAAAAAATTTACATACCTTTTATTATGTTGTTATAATGGCTCGATTTTATAATTAGTTATTGCTATTAATCTCTTACCATGTCTAGTCTATAAATAAAACTTTATCATAGGTATCAATAAGTAGAAAAAAACAGTCTCAGGCATCCTTGGCCAGGGGGTGGGCAGTGCTCTTGAAATGTATCTTCCATGTTAAGGGAGGATTACTGTACATTGTTTGGGGACAATATAAATCATAAGAGGAATGTCAGGCAAATAATGTCAGGTGAAAATAAGAAAGGCTGATCGATCAGTTCTCCAGTGATAGAAAACTGCTATAATCCTGTCTTCCATCCTCAACAAAGATAGATTCTCCACTTTTCAAGTTACAAGAGAGTAGGTTCTGTGCAGTATTATATTGCCACATTCTGATAATTGAACCCTCACCTGAACTTGCAATAATAGTTTAACAAGTTAGGTTTGGAAGAATATCCTTCCTGCCTGCATCAACTCAGTGGGAGGAAACTGCTTCAAGTCCCTGATAGACCAGAAAATGTAGAGGATGAAGGTCCTATGCACTTCTGAAGGTAAGAGAAGGAAACCAACCTTTATATTTCAATCTACCAAATAATTAGGGCGAGAAAGACAATCAATTCTCGAATAAATTAGTGCCTTTCCTTTCTTGATGAATGTGATAACTAACATATCAAAGAATTAGCCTTCGCTATGACAAAGTGAGGACACCGCACCTTATTTGCAGCATCTCTGGCCTGCTGAATTAGTTCTCGAATTCTGTCCATATTGTCAGAGATGTTTCCCAAGGGTAACAGTTGTTGGTTGATACTTTCAATCTTGCTCAAAAGATCTGGAAGTTTCTTAGTTAATTTCTTTACTGTTGGTGAGATGAGAAAACAGAAATTTTAAATTGTGCATTGAGAAAAGGTTAAATACAGATGTTCTTAACGGACAACATTTGGTAAGTGGCAAGCTTAGGCCCCAAATGTTGAACAGGATGGATCATAGTCAGATGATCCCTTTCCAAATGCATCATAGATTTTATTCTTCAATATAGGTATCATATCCTTTTCCTTGCTCACTACAAGAAAAAAAATTTGTTTTCTAATCCTTAATATCAATCATAATTAAATACCTCATGATTTAGGAACTAATCACTCTATTAAAAAAAAGAAAATTAATAGCACTGTTAATGGATTAAAAAAGGAAAAACAGCGTGCCTGGTCTTTCTAATAGAATATCTATACTATTTGAATGTACGATGTTAAACTATTTTCAAATATTTTCATTTATGATCAGACTTTACCAGGGAAGAACTGAGATGTACCAAGACCCATAACAATGCAGAAAATGGCTAATACACCTGACCCAAGAAAGACTGGTACCTGAGTTATGTGCATCACTCAGAGCCTGGTTGAAGTCTGCACTCTGCGTGCTCCCATAAGTATCCTTAATTCTTTCCAAGTCTGTCTGAATGGGGTTAAGCCCATCCAGAACCTCACTTGTGATGTCGTCAGCCTTTCTGACCAGGCCCTTTGCACCGCTGATCATGCCATCGATGTCACCTAATGCACACACAGATAGGGAGGTGTAAGAATTTAAAACATTCAATGAAAGAAACCGAGTACAGTAGTCCAGGGAGATGATGACCTCTCTGAATCCCACGAAGGTCGTCACGGACAGTAGTGAGGTTGGTGTCTATCAGTTTTTTCTGAACAGTCACAACATTCAGGGTTTGCTGTAGGTTGTTGAGAGCTGGATTGATTTCTAGAAGAAAATAAACAGCAAGAGGCAATCATTCTATGAGCTCTGATCCTTTATTGATATTTGTGACCTCTGAGATAGCTGGCATCAGGGAGATATTGGGCAGACTTGTGCTTTGGGGTTCATTCCAAAGATGCCTGCTGCTCATGGCCTAGACTGACAGCTCTGGGGCCCTCTGGTTACAGACGCCACAAGTGCATCAGAGCCTTGTGGTGACAGACTCCTTAGAAATGCATGAAGAAAGAGAGAAGCTGAATAACTCAGGAGAGGGTTGAACTACTCCACTGGGACCAGAAGACTCTGCTTCGTGAAGGGAGTGTCTGTCTTATTTGATGCTAAGTACCAGCACAGGGCACAGTGCCTGGCGCTAGCTGCAGATTCATATTAGCACATATTTGTTGAATGAGTGAATGTATGAATGAACAAATGAATAATACAGAAAGAATGCTCTTCAGTTGGAGGACAAGAAGGGCTTTTTTTTTGAGAGAGAGCGTGCGTCATCTAAAGAACACAAAGTAGACATTGTTTGTTCCTGTTCATTTCCAACCTGACCAATTTCAAATATTGCTGTCTTTGGGTCCAACACATGCTTTAAAATCATACTGATGATATGTGACTCACATTATGATTCTGGGACTGTTTTTTTTTTAAAGCAGTGTAGTTATTAGCATTCAAACCTATTTAAAACATTGATCTTGGACTGGGAATGTAGCCCAGTGTTGAAGTGTGTGCTTAGTATGTGAAAGGTCCTGGGTTTGATCTCCAGCACTGCAAAAAACAAACCTCACTAATCCTACCTCTAAGCTCAAATGTCATAAAGAGAGCAGATGTCATGCCATGAAATTTTAATTCTTAAAAATGGCTAGGCAAATGTGTGTTTATTAGTACATAATTTTTTCTGTATTTTATTTTTCATATATTTAATTTTTAAAAAAATTCTTAATAAATAAATTTACAATTGTCTAATCCATCTTAAAGAACAAAGAAGCTAAGTGAGGACTATGGGCTCAGATTTCTACTTAGCCTTGAATGCCCACAAGAGACCAGAGAAATTCAAAGGATAGCATTGTTAGAACATAGGAGTTTGGTGAGTTTAAAACAGTTTAATTCTTTTTAAACAAAATTAAATTAAATTAAGTGAAAAAATTCCAAAGATAAAATTTACGCTTAAAAACTTCTCATGTTTCAGAGTTTGGGTACTTTTGACCTTTTGATTGCTAAGATTTTAAGAGTTCAGAAATTATGAAGCAGTGGCCAGGTATGAGACTCTGCCTCAAAATAAAGCAAAATTTAAGAAAGTAAAAAAAAAAAAAAGAAATTAAAGGGCTGCAATTATAGCTCAGCAGTAGAGCACCTCTGTATTCAACTTCCAGTACCACAAAAAAAAAAAAAAGAAAAAGAAAGAAAGAAATTTGAAAACAATTGCATCAATGACCTGGAATGAATGATCTGGATATGTGGGTTCCCAATGCCATGGTCACAAAATTGATTAAATTAAGAGTGTCCCCTCAGGGACAGGCTAAAAGAAGTCTATGACCACAAGACTTTTTTATGATTATGAGACTGCAGTCAATTTCATAGATGATGGATGGGGGATATTTAGAGTTTTGGGGTTGATACATGATATTGAAAAATAAATCACAAATTCAGTATCTTCTGTATTGACACTGAAATTCCGAAAGAACATTTGTTTCCAGGGCTGCCTCTCCTGGTCCCAAAGGTCATCTTAAACCCTTGACTATCCCTGCCACCCCCAGGCCCCCAATACCTTGCTGTAGCTCCTTCTGTGTTAACTTGGCTTTGTGCAGCAATTTATCACTGTCAGAACTCAGGGTCTTAGCTTTTCCGGGAAGATTTTCCTTTATCACTGTCTGCAAGCAAAGCATTTATCACTCTTAACCATATGCTATACCTTAGGAAATATGAAGGAAGAGTTTCACAATAGTCTTCAAGTTCTTTAATCTTTAAAAGGTAAAGTCTGAAGGGGAGAAGGGGCCTAGAAGTATACTGTTCCCTAAAAAGAGATGGTCTGGATCCTAAGTAGACATCCAGGGCTCAGGGAGGTGGACCCATCTTCAGTGACGTACTGGAAGATGGTGAGACAGTTGCCTGCTGTCACTTGTACCCCTTCTAATAATCAAAGGGAGAATTTAGTTCAGGCTTTCACATTTTGAAACCTAAATCTTTAACTTACCATGAAGGCCTGTTCTTCTGACTCTGATATTTAATATTTTTGTCCTTTTTTTCTGATATAGGAATATTATATGATACAGGTTAGATCTCACAAAACTCCACAGACATACCCAGATGTAAAACCAAATCACTGGTAGAAAACAGTGGTCAAATTGTTTACAAAAGTTTCTTTTTGGCAAATGCTAATATTTAATCACAGGATAAAAGTATACCTGGCAAGCAGAATATACTATTTGTTTACATTCACAGTCAATAATGGATGTAATTTCTATCTGGATTTACAAATAGTTTTAAACTGCCCTACAGACATCAAATTGTCAAATAAATAGAGAAATGGCCCATGAATAGAGTGAGTTTAAGTGTATTCTGTAAAAAAGTTCTGATTTGCAATAATGCTTTTCAATATCCCTCCGCACACAGAGAATGAGAATAAGAAAACGTATTGCCTCCAGATCAAATCTACATAAGCTACTGGCACAGATGCCCACCTGGAGGGCTGACTCAGATGCACTGGTGGCCTTGTTGGCAGCGTCCTCTGCTGCATTGATGGCGTTGAGGATGTTCTCGTAGGCGGTGGCAGCGTCCACAGCACGGCGTACCAGCTCATCCCCACTGGCATTTCTTTTGATCCTGCAAAAAGGTCGAGCAGGTTAGGTTCTCTAACAGGTTTGATGTTAGGGCTGCCATCCCCTCCAGTCTTCCCATTTCTTTAGGCAAGTGGACACCAGATGTGGGGGCCTCTGCAGCTCCACCCCCAGGTCATGGTTGGGAATCCACGCTTCATTGTAGATCTGGTTTTGTCCTGGGCTGTGGGTCCTGAATGGGGCCTCAGCCAGGATCCCACTCTCTGTCATATTCTGGGCCCCTCACTAGCTCATGAAGGGCCTCACTTGGCACTTAACCAGCCCCTGGGGTTTGGATCTCTCCATCCACTTACTCTTCCAGCTGCTTGGCCAGTTCTTGTAAAGACTGTGCATGCTTTTCTGCCTCCACTACCAGGGATGTCTTGCTCGCTGATCTGGAGAGTTCTCTCACTTTGTCACTTAGTTCCTGTCTTCTTGCATTTAAAGTAGAAACTAATTTTTCATATTCCTATTTTCCAAGTAAATAAAGACAGTATAAATTCAAGCAAAGGCCACATATACCATTTTATCAAACTCTGTCACAAATGATGTTTCCCATATGAAATTATATTTTCTAAGCCCATTTAGCATACCAATTAATCCTTGGTTACTTCAGATAGGAGTATTGACAATATCCCTCCATGTCTTACCATCATCTTGAGCATTTTATTTCTAGTGGGCACCCTATTTAGTAAGTTTATAGAAGTACAATGTCATCATCAAGGTAAAGTTCTATGAAACCAAAGGATTTTATGACATGGAAATAGTTGTTATAAATGACACTTTCAAAATGCCCATTAGGCTGCTAAGAAATTTTGTCAATCTTTTATCAAGTCTTAAATGCATTCTATTAATAAAGATATGCTTGATATTTAAGAAACAGCATTTCAAAGTGTTGTTGTTATTGTTTTTATCATAAAATTGACTTGCTCCTTGCAGACAAATTAAGTAAAATAGATGGACTTTGATAAGACACATCATTTGTACCCCTGGCCCAAAGGAGAAACACTGATAACTTTTTGGGATATTTGCTTCCACCTAAAAGACACACATTCAAGGAAAAAAAAATAGATCAGCCCTTCTCATAGTCCCCCAATAATATAACTTAAATGTTTCTAGATTTTTCTAGAGAATTAGCAGTCTCCTCTACCTTCTGTTTTTTGTCCATCTGCTGTAGTACAGTGTTGGTCTGAAGCAAGGAAGAGTCTGCAGTAGTCAGGAACTTTGTGAAGTCACTCTTCAGCAAATCAATTTCTTTCACTTGATTCTGGAGAGGATAAAAAGAACATCTGCTTGAGCTCCAAGACACATCATCAGAAAGCACAGATGGATTTATTGGACAACAGCATATAAACAATTCAGAGTTGGGATGTTTTCTTGAACCTGAGGTTGGTCTATGCAACTGCAAAATGATGGGACATGGGTTCTCTCCTCAGTGTCATCTTGTTGCCATAGTATCCTCCCACTATCTGCTAAGGAAACAAGCGCTAACACTGTCAAAGATTTCTACCCTGGGTCAACTTGACCAGTGAGGTGAAAATATTACTAAGTTCTAAATTTGGGGAATAGAATGAGAGATTTTTAACTCAATAAATCAAGGACTAACCAGCACACTGTCTGCCAGTCCCAGCAAAAATGCAACAGGTGCTTGAATGAGAGATGACACAGGACCTGAGCAGGCCAGGCCAGAAGGTGGCCCAAGGTCAAACAGCCATGCAGCTGGAGTCTGCTCCCTGCCAGGCGCCGTCAGGGATTCAGACAGAGGAGGGGAGGCAGTGGGAACTGAGCATGTGGCCACGCACAAGACATCACTTTGGGGGTCAGTCTGATGTAATTTGACTCTGATCCTACATTTTGGTTGTTGTTTGATGTATAAGGCTCACTATCAAAAATGCAAGGTATGAATTCTTGAGCTCTAAATTCTGTCACTGTAGCTTCTGTTTGCAGCCTGTTCTTAACTTGTATCCTATGAAGCTTGGAATAACTTAAATGCCTTTGCTGGAGATTATGATGCTTACCTATCTGACAAATCATGTCATTGGAAACAAAGTATACTTCATTAACTCTAACATGATTAATTTATCATCTTCTTGGCATCATTATTCCTCCAACACTCTTTCAGCCAGGGGAAGGGTTAAGGCAGTTTGAAAGGCTTAGCCTGCGACTGAAGTCCAGAATCTTTTCTGGTAGCTGAGGAGTGGAATTGACTGGTTTTGTATTTATTTATTTGTTTATTTATTTTTAGTTTTATTGATTTTATTGTTTTTGATACACGACAGTAGAATACATTTCAATTCTTATTACACATATAGAGTACAATTTTTCATATCTTTGCATATAGAGTATGTTCAAGCCAATTCATGCCTTTATACATGTACTTTGTTTTTTTAATTTTGCATTACAATTCTTATTACACATATATACCACAATTTTTCATATCTCTGTTTATATATAAAGTATATTGACATCCAATTCGAGTCTTCATACATGTACTTTGGGTAATGATATCCATCACATTACACTGCTCTTGCGAATCTCCTGCCCCCTCCTTTGCCCTCCCACCCCTCTTCCCTATCTAGAATTCAATGCCTAGTTCCCACTTGACCAGGCAGGATCTGAGGTGATATAAGCAGCCAGGGCCCTGGCCATGCCACTTGTTGAATACAAAGATCCTGCTCCCTTGTCTCGACCATGATGAAAGCCTGCACTTTCCCACTGTGAGCTCACCTTGAAGGTTCCCAAAGCTCGCTCATTGTCTTGGTTGAGATCAGTGGCCTGCTTCGTCTGGGCAGCTGCCTCCTGTAGCACAGCACGTAGGTCATGGAGTTTGGCTTCATAATCACTTAAAGAATTCCGTATATTCTTTACAAGTCCATCGTTCTCCAGCTTCAGGGCTTGCCGCCTTTTCTGGTCCAACACTGTAATACATCACTTTATGTTTCCCACTTGAGAGAAGAGCATACTGAAGCTAGGTTATAAAGACTGCAGAAGGAGAACTGAACTCCTGTTCATTTTGTGAGTCTCCTTGAACTTTGGAGGGAAGGGGAAAGGAAACTGACATTTATGAGGCCTCCTGCATACATTGCATGCATTGCATCTTTTAGCTTCTATGATAATACATGAAAATAATAATTATTGTTCTCATGTTATTGATAAGGAAATGGAGCCTCTAGAAGTTAGGGGGTCAACCCAAGGTTACAAAACCAGTCAGACTTAGGACTTGAACCAAAGTGGCAGAGTATAAAGTGCACACTTCTTCCACTGTTAAAACTGCCACCTTAACAGTTAAAAGCCAAGACTAAGATTGCATTTGAACAATATCCCTGCTACAAGAAAACTGCTACTGTCTGCATATTAACCACAGATGCCTCACTTTACTAAAGAATAAATATCCTTACTTGAAAAAAAATATATGTGCCAAGTTAACAGCTTAGTTTTGAGGCATTTTCTCTAGGCAAAACTGTTAGATAATATTCAGTTAATTTCAAGGCTGTCCTTTTCTATTGCTTTCGATATAACAGTAATTGCTTTTGATATAACAGCTAATATGAATTTGTGACTCAACAATTCAATATCAAAAATGATACAATGAGAAAACTGGAAAGAGGTACAGAAACATTAAAAGAATGAATATGCAGTTAAAAGGAAAAAGGAGGTCTGAATATCTAACTTCTAGAAGCACTTTTTTTTCTATACCATGGTAAGATGTATAGATTCATAGTCACTTGAAGAAAAGTCTCTTGGTCTCTGTTATGGTTTAGATATGAGGTGTTCCCCAAAAGCTCATTATGAACAACGCAAGAAAACTTAGATGTGAAAGGACTCGGTTATGAGAGCCTTAACCTAATCAGTGCATTAATCTTCCATTAGGGATTAGTAAGTGGTGATTGAAGACAGGTAGGGTGTGACTGGAGGATGTGGGTCTTTGTGGGTATGCGTTTGGGGTATATATTTTGTCCATCATGAGGGGAGTCTCCCTTTGCTTCTTGGTGACATGTCCTGACCTGCCTTCCTCTATCATCTGCCATGATGTCTTACCTCACTTGGGCCCAGAGAAACGGAGCGGGCCCTCTATGGACTGAGATCTCTGAAATAATGAGCCCCTTTCATCCTCTAAAGTTGTTCTTGTCAGGTCTTTTGGTCACAGTGTCATAAAAGCTGACTAAAACACTCTCCCAGGTTGGGGGGGTGTGCCCCTATTTCCATCATGTGATACTCTTACAGTCACACTCACTGAAATGAGACCTTCCACCTATAACCAGTAGCTCTATCTAATCTGTATTTTGCACTTTGTATTTCAAGCCAGTTAGAATGGACAGGATGCAAGAATTTGGGCAGGTCCTTACAGAGCTGGGCGGCTCTTTTTTCAGCTTCTGCCTCTCTCAGGTGCTTTGCAAAGTTTCGGTTCCGCAGTTCCCTCATCATGCGATGGGCTTCTGCCAACTCTCTGGAGAAGTCGCCCAAAGGCAAGTGGTTTCCATCTCCACTTGTCCCAGGGATCTGCTTGAGGAGAACTGGAAAATATCGAGTAGTTTATTAAACTGGGAATTCTGGGCTCCAGTAAACTACTTCTTTTTTAAAAAGGCAGAAGCTTTCATAGAGGTTTCATATTAGTTTTTTTTTCATGCCACCATAGGACTTTTTCATATTGTTGAACTCGCCAAAGGAAATTCTTTCAGTGAATAGCAAAGATTATGTAACAAAACAAACAAACAAAAATTGAGTCAAGTGATTTTTCTTACTGTGCACATTCCGGATGACATTTTTAATCTTTGTGTTCAGGTCTTCTGCACTTTGGATCGTCCGATCAACATTGTTATATAATGTTTGTGCTTTCCTGGAATTTATTCGAGCCTATATGAAAAATAAATTGGTTAGCCACAAATTAAATTGATAGGGAAAGAAAAAAAATGAAGATATCTAGGAAGGGGAAAAAAGGATTAGGGTAATTGATCTACTGCATACATTACCTTTTCTTGCAAAGTTTCGAATTCAGGATTCAAGTTACTCAGCTCTTTTTCCAGGGCATCCATTTTTGATCCATGATTTGAAATAGTAGAACGATAGTTGAGCAACTGATTCTGAAAGCAACACACCAAGCTAATCTCACTTTGGAGTTGAAATTGAGGCTACATCCTATCAACCTGGTGAATGAAGACACTCATTGAATAAGAACAGCAGCAGTTCTAAAGAAAAATAATGTGGTTCTTTGAAACAGATTCCATGAAAAAAAAAAATCCATCTTCTGATGTCAATTGTGACATGGCTCTGAAATAAAGTAGCTTTCCCAGTTATCTCTCCATCAGTCTAACAAATACCTGAGATAATCAACTTACAAAGAGTAAAGTGTTCATCTCGCCTCAAAATTTTAGAGGTTTCCAGCCCCTTTGCTTTAGGCCTATGATGACTCAGCGCATCACAGTGGAAGCACTGGGTGACACAAAACTTCTCACCTCCTGGCTACCAGGAAGTGAGAGAGGAAGAGAATGGAGCTGAGGGTCCCACTGTCCCCTTCCAGGGCAAGCCCCTAGGGTCAAGAAGACCTCTCACTAGACCATCTCTCAAAGTTTCTATTGCCTCCCAAGAACACTATTCCAGGGAACAAGTCTTCAACATAGAGGCCTTTGGGGGACATTTAAGATCCAAGCAGGAGCAAATGTAAAAACATGGAGACAACAGCCACTTTAGTTGAATGAATGACCTGACCTTATAGAAATCAGAGTAATACTGTTTATCTGATGTATTGATTTTCAGATTTATATGCATTGTTAAAAAAAAATCTATGCTTAACCTTATAGTACTAAAGGTAATGCATATGGCTACTTTATTGAAAGACTCATTAGATTCAAAGACTCCAATATAACAGAGCTGTAGGGGAATTCTTGAGCTCACGCAGTTGAATATCTTAAAATGATAAATGAGAAAATTAAAGCTTAAGGAAGTTGGGTGACTTGTCCATGGCTGTATAGCTGACCATGATTGCTTCAGGCTACAAAGGCCGGTCTCTCATCCTTGACATAGTACAAAATTGCCTCATTACTTTTAAAGGTAACATTTCTGCACAGAAAAGAGTAGTGATTATTTTCAGTTTGGGAGGGGGAAGTAATATCTTGAAAAAACTGACAAGAAAACAATGATCGTATTGCCTCCATTTGTATTTGGAGCCAGTGTTGGGTAAAAGAACACATTCTTAAGCATAATCCATCCAAACCCTCAGTCTACCCGCTTAGTAGATGAGCCCCATCAAGCTTAATCCCTTTCATCAGCAAATTGTGAAATGTGATATGAAACTTCAGGGTGGGTTATGGTGACAAGTGAGTTAATATATTCTAAAATGTAATGTACATATGAGCATTCAAAAATGTTAGTTCATACTCTTACTGAATTGTCACAGAGCTTATGTGATGTGGCAAGAAGATAGTTCTATTTTCATTTTATAGTGGGAAAAGTGACATGACTGCATAAATGTTGGTAGAATACCCGGATAAGAGGTCAGTGGGTAAAGAGTGGTCATTAGAATTTGGTCTCCATCTGGTTTCTTCTAGAACCTCTGTGTTCTAGATATGTGGTTTTAGGCAAGTTATTTAGCTTCTCTGTGTCTGTTAAATGAAACTAGTACTATTCCCCAATAGGGATATTGTAAGACTTGAGCAAAGCACCTAGCATAGAACCCGGCACATAGTTGGCATACAGAAAGTTGAAGCAGTGCAGGGCTGTATCAAGGAAATCAAAGCAATTCGTGTAGCTTCCTCTGTTTTTCTCATAACATAAAGGCTATTTTTTTCTTTCTCCACTATATTAAGCCTATAAACCATGGACTAAAATTACCCTGAAGGGATGAAAAGAGCCATTTTTCTAGAATTACTTCTTGCTATATATATTCTGCTATAGCCACTACAATCAGCCCTTACTCTAAAAGCATTTACTAAACTTTCCCCAAAGCCTATTTCAGTGTGTCTAGTCTTGGGTTTATTTCATCTACTGCATTATTTTACTTCAATGAGTATTTTTTTTTTCATTTCCATGAATTTCAATGGGATGTATTTATCTCTACCTCTCCTTGTTTCATTTCTGGTGGTTACCCACCCCCTTAAATTTCCTAATTTCTTGTTCCTTGCATTGGATTTTATTCCTCAAAGTAATTTGCTGGTTATCCTATTATTTTCATTGGTACATACTTCATTCAACTCTTGACTATTGCTTCAGTTGCACATTTTTCTGTTGTTAATAGGGTTGTTTGAAATGGTCACAGGTTCATTGGGAGTTGCCCCTCTCTCTGCATTCCCCACACCCTGTCTAGTGATCTTATAGTTATCACCATCCCCATGTTGGATCCCCCCGTCCAGGACCAGGTCTTATGTTGGAATTCAGGACTTGAGCACTATGGTGACACTGAGGATGTCATTCCAGCATAGACCCAACTTTGTGGATTTGTCTGGTCTGACCAAAATGCTGTGATTCCTATAACTTTCCTTCATTCTTATAGTCATTGCCCAACAACAAGCTCTGGGCTGTTTTATGGTGGTGTTTTCTCAGTCTTCATTCATAGACAGAGTAGGCTACAGGTTCCCTCAGAGAACCTGACTCTGACCCTGTGGAGCACTTTAGGCCCCATTATTTCTAAGGATACTCTGCCAGCCCCCTTCTTTCCAAGTGCACAAAGAACATTCACCCAGGAAGATCATATTCAGAGCTAAGAATCAAACCTCAGCATATTTAAAATAATTGGAATCATATGTAGTTTGCTCTCTGACCACAACAGAGTTAAATTAGAAATTAATAATAGAAAGTTCTCTAGAGAATTTTCCAATTTGCAAGTTAAACAACACACTCCTGGGTTACAGCTATGTCACAAGGGAAATTAGAAAATCTTTTGAATTGAACAAGAAAGAAAACACAACATTTCAAAATCTGTGAAACACAGCAAAAGCAACACTGAGGGCAAGAGTTTATAGTCTCAAATATTTGTGTTTTCAGTAAAAAAAGTTATGATATAGCTCAGTAGTAGAGCACTTGCCTAGCATGCATGAGGCACCGGATTTGATCCTCAGCACTGCATAAAAATAAACAAATAAAATAAAGGCATTCTGTCCATCTACAACTACCAAAAAAATTTTTTTAAAAAAGTTTTGAATCAGTAAAATAAGCTTTCAACTAGGAAACTAGAAAACGAATAGCAAAATACGCCAAAGCCAGCAAGAAAAAGGGAAATAATATGGATAAGAACAGAAAATAATGAAATTGAAAACAGAAAAACAGTGGAGAAAACCAATAAAATAGAAAAATCAATAAAGCTGATAAACCTCCCAAAGTAATTAAAAGAAAGAGATAAGACACAAATTATCAAATATGAGGAAAAATGAAAGGTCAGTGCTAGAGATTTTGCACCATTAAAAGGATAGTAAAAGAATATAATGAACAATTTTATGTAACTACATTTCTTCATTTAGATAAAAAAGGCACATTATTTGAAAGACTTAGATTACCAAATATCGTTTAAGAAGAAATAGATAAACTCAATAGTCTTGTATCTATTTTTAAAAATTAAAATTATGTTTTTTTTTAAACTTCCAACAAAGCAAACCTTAGACTCACATGGCTTTTCTTGAAAACTATATAAAACATTTAAAACAGAATTATGCTTATTTTACAGCCCTGTGTCTAAGACTTTTGAATGAAACACACTTGAGTTAAAAGGCTCTGTGAGAAAAAAATCACCATGAAAATTCAGTTAAGAGCGTACACTTAGAAGTGTTAGGCTTGTGTGTTCACAAGCACTTTCCACAGGTGAAAATCTTATCCTCATTGAATCAGAGGAAGACAGGAGCCCCTTGATTCTTAAACCGGAGTCAATCCCTCCCCCTTTCCTGCCCGAGGATATTCATCCAGGCCTCCTCTGTAGTCAGCTCTCCATGTCTGCAGGTTCTCACCTGCAGATTCAATCAAGTATCAAAAATATGTTTTTAAAAAACTGTGTGTGCTGAACAAGTACAGACATTTTTCCTGCCATTTTTCCTTACACAATATAGTATAGCAGCAATTTACATGGCTTTTACAGGGTATTAGGTATTATAAGTAATCTAGAGATGATTTAAAATATACAGGGAGCTGTGTGTAGGTTATAAGCAAATATTATGCCACTTTACATCAAAGATTTGAGCATCTGCAAATTTTAAGTTCCAATTCCTGTGGCTACTAGAGACCCAGATATATTCACAGAGTATGTACTCTAGGTCCCCTAGGGGATTTACCCTCAGGTCCTTGGCTTGGGTCTCCACGAGCCGAATCTGCTCCAGGGTGCTGGCACTGGCACTCAGGCCTTGTAGCTGAGACTTAGCCAGACGGAGCTCCTCACCCATGGTGGCCAGGTCATTCAGGAGCGTCATAACACAGCTGTCACAATCTGCAGGGACCATAATCAAAGGTAAAAGTGCTGGGGCTGGAGCCAAGGGAAGGCAAAGAGAATGTAAGGGCTGGACCCATAAGCACATAGGTCATCACGGTCATCACAGGCAGAAGTCACAATCCTGGCCTTCTCAGGGAGGGATATAGATCCCAAAATCAGGTGAGCCCTATACACCTGAGCATTTTAAAATAAAAATGGTGAGTCTATGCAACATGCTGATTCTTCGGAATGTGGAAAAAATAATAACATATAGTTTTCATTTATGGAGTTTCATTTATATGTAATAACGTATAGTTTTCATTTAATTTTTAAAAATAGATACGAGACTATTGAGGTTATTTATTTCTTAAGGTTATCTATTTCTACTCTTTTCCCCCATGCCATAAATATTGTGATAAGGGATTTATAAGCATTTCCCCAATAGCTATATGAAGTAGGTATAGTCATGTCCATTCTACAAGTAATGAAACCAAGGCCAGGAGAAGTAAGGTGGCTTCCTGAAGGTCATCAGTGAGTGGTTGACAAAAGCTGGATTTGACCTTCTATTGTCTTTCTCCATCTCCTCCCAGGGTCTGATTTCCCCATTTTGAAACCCTGTGTCCCAGCATGGGGCTCATATCTTAAACCCCACAACCTGGGAAGGGAAGGGCTTTCTTTTCTCACCATCACATTCTTCTGCAGGGCCACTATCTTTGGGTTCTTGGTTGATGCAGTCTGAAATCAGGAAAAGAGAAAAAGAAATCATTACCATTAAACTTACTCTTCCACCTACTTTTTAACTTGGTTTTCAGAAAAGTTAGTTCGAGAAGATTTTAGCCATCCAACCACACAACATCATTGGCTCTTCCTTTTCCCACCCTCACCCACACCATTGCTCATGGAGCAATTTCATCTTCCATCAGGGCTGAGCAAGAACTTCTTTGGTCGCCCCTTGATTATACTATAATTCCATTTCTTGTCTACAAAGGGCCACCTATATAGAGGACCATGCCTTTCTTATTGGATTAAAATTCCTAATTGTTAGTGTTAAGGCTTTCTCCAGTGGATAGCTCCCTACATGTTGACACTTCTTCTAAAATCATTCAAGCATATTGTACATTCACTGAGCATCTTTGAACATTTGCTGTGTGCTGTGGTACAGGAAATATAGAGCCATCAGGACAAACTCCCCGCTGTCCTGTGGCCTAATGGTCCTCTGGGATTGGCAAATGACAAAACAGTTTGACAGAGATAAGCACACAATGTTGTTGGGTCACACTGCCGATGACTGCACCCATGAGCTGAGCTTTGTTTGAGGTTCTTAACTACATTTGAGGAAAGCCCTGTGATCATCCTTGGACCTTCTTCACCTTTCACTTCTACTCTTTTCCCCATGCCATGAATTCATATATGAAATGCTCTCTCACTTCCCTCTGAAAAATAATCTAATTTCACTACAGCAAAAATTAAAGCTAGAAATTTTCCAAAACATGGCCCTTTTGTATTCTAAAAATATCACAGAGGCATTTGCTATCCTTACCACTTCCTGTCATCTGGTAACTGGGAGACATGCCTGCTATATATCCATACAAGTAAAAAATGTTCAGCAAGATGGAGTAAAAAATGAAGTACTGAGACCATGGCAATAAATACCCTATTCTAGACTGGCATTAATCCATTTCCTCTGCATTCCTTTGGTTATGGTTACTTGATTAGACCTAACCCACACATCCAGGGCTTAGTTCTTCAAATTACCCACAACTAAAAGATGAGAGATTTTGTATAAGTGGTATTACACTACACCAATGGTATTTCCCTAATAAATCATATTAATATTTTTAAAAGAAGGAAGTGAATAACTCTTCCTTTTTGTTCTGTGCTGCTCCTAATGAATTCATACTAACTCCCATTAACTCTTTTCCTTGGTGTGTAGAATCCACCCCAGTTACCTGTACACCTCCCAGAATATGTGTAGCTATAAGAGAAAGAGTATTTTGATGGCTTCAGATCCACACAAAGAAGCCTAATGTTTAAGACAACCCTACAGTGTCAAAGAGAAAGCTCAGCAAATTGCCAAAGAGTCCAAAGTGATTTTTATCTATAATTGCTTGGGTTTTAAAGATAATTTACTCTTAAAAACCCTAATAGAAGTAAGTTATTCAACAAACCTATAAATGATACCTAATCATTCCCAGGTATAATTGCCAGGTTATCGAAACAAGGGGACAATTTGTTAGCTGGAATTGTGTATTATACGTCCTAAAAATTTGTGCTTGGTCCTTATATTTTTATTTTATACCAATTTTACAAATGCAGATTAGCAGAGGTGTGCACTAATCTTACCTCCAGTGAGGGGGTCACAAGAATGTAACTGGCCATTGCTGTTACAATTGCATGGTTGGCAGCTACCTCCAAACTTCTGGGGATTCCCAAAATATCCTGGTGCACATCTACAGAAAATAGAGAAAGAATGAGAAACACTCCAACAACTCATCATTTATCCCACCTAATTTTATTGTATCTAACTCTCTGTTTGGGATACTGTAGCCCTACAGAAGGAATGGTGACATAGAGTTGCAAGAATAAATGAATGTTTCTCAGTATAGGGATATTTACCCCTTGAATGAGGCTGCTGAGGGATTGCTCCTTCCCTCCTTTCTTGCTCCCAGAACTACCAAATCCCCAAATATCCAGATAGCCTAATGGCAGATGAGCAAAATGTACACTGAAGCAAATGGTTTGATCAATATGGAAATCAGGGATGACTGAATTTTATGGAAGAGTTATATTCCTAAATATAACACAGAATTAAATATTGCTTAACTTAAAACTAATTTCTTCATAGTAACAATTTTAAAGTAAGACTCATAAAATTTCAAACTTCTGCAAAGGAAGACTTTCTTCTTATTTTCTAATGTATTATTTCAAGGCTGCATAATTCATACTTGCAGTGGGGTATATAAAGAGCTCAAGCCACTGAGAGCAATTATTGCTGCTGCTTCTGACCTTGAACCATTATTATTCTAGATAATTTAGTGATAAGTACAAGTTTAAAGATCATATGTCCTTCATTCTTAGAGTCTATTTTTTAAAAAAGTAAAACAAATACATGTTAATGTTTCTGGCACTGAGATGTCAATTAAAATATTTCCATTTAGCAAAATTCCACTTCCCACCCTGTCCTACCCAAATTGATATATAGTGTCTTATCGTCAATGGAATCATTAGAATCAAAGAAATATGGTAACTCTTTCCACAAAATTTAAGCTTTGCATTAAAAATTGTTAGGCAATTTCAATGTCCTTTACCAATGAATACACCTACAATTTAATGCAAAGCACATGGGTTTTGGGTGAGGAAGATCTGGCTGGACTCTGCCCCCACCACTTACTACTGTGATCTTATGTTGTTGGCATAATTCTTTGAGCTTCAGTTTCTTCATCAATTATCCCCAGGAAAACATAAACTCCATGAAAACATGGTGTATGTTTTGTTGATTTGTTTGTTTGTTTTAGGCTGTTTTGCCCATTCATAAATTCCTAGTACTTGGGGTAGTACCTGGCAGATATTAGAAGTCAAATAAATATTTATTGAACAAATGATTAGACTTATAATACCTACTTCGGTAATTGGATGTAAGAAAAAATGTAGTAAAGAAGCTAGTATAATGCACATAACAAACACAATAAAAGGTAGCTAAGATTATAAGACATGATGTAATATTCATTTTATAATTGGTACACATCTGGGATTATTTGGTGTAAGAAAGTAGAGAGGAATCAGAAAACTCACATATTCCCTAATTATCAAGAAGACAGGTAGGCTGAGGTGGCTTGTCTGAGTCTACTAAGCAGGATGGTAAAATACTAATAATAGGGCTTTATTTTTTTTTTTACATATTTTGCCTAACAAACCATGTTATGTGGGACATCTATGTTCTAAAATAATTTGTCCTACTTATATCTAAACTTTCCATGTAATAGACACAAAAGCATAAAGCACCTCATATTAAAATCATATAAATATTCAGGAAGTTTGATTCCACTTCTTCCTTATTTCTACAGAGCATTAGCAACTGATTGTGAGAAATATAGCTGGTTCTCTTTTTTATGGCTAAACATAATGGATTAAAGTAAAAGTTCCTGATTTCACTGATGACTTGGGTACAGTAAATAAAGTGCAGAGGACATGTTTATAATCCAAGGCTCTATGTAGCCAAGGGAAGAGAGGCAGATGAGCACGGGGGGGGGGGGGGCGGGGGGGCTAGAAAACCTTTTCCACAGTGGCCCCGGGCAGGCTGCTCCTCCTCCACCCACTGAGACTCCTGTCTGTGGTATATTCTCCCTCTATTGTCCTCTTGTTTGTCATTTCATACTTAATGACTAGTGCCAGTCACGATGCCAGAAAACCCAATCAATGTTTAACAATCGAAAAATGTTGACATCAACCTGGCATTTACCTGTGAAAAAGTTCTTAAAAATTTTAAGAAACAACAGCTTGCTTTCTTGAGACATTCAATGTAACAAACATAAGCCGAGAGGAGAACTGTTAATTAAAAATTTCTCTTCACATCAGCTGCCTGCCAAATAAATAGATGCCTCATCAAGAAAGTTGCTGTTTTCTGTTTCACTGTTTGTGGAGAACCATAAGGAGGATTAAATTAGAAAGCCTCTCCTAGGTGTGAGCTTATAGCTTTTAAATCATGAAGCCCAGAATACCTGCCCAGACCCCAACCCATCCATCCTTCCGGTATCCTTATAGCTGCCCTCTTCCTTCCTCACCCATCAAGGTTGGTTGGATGCCCCTTCAATTGCAACCCAACTTAGCCCAGTGACCTTGTGCTTATTTTCATGTCTGTCTACCCGTGGCCTTAGAGCCCTGGGGGGTCCACGCTCTGTTTGCTAATGTGTCTCTAGGGTTTAACATGGTGCTGAGCAGATTCTAGGAACTCCATGCATGTTGACATTGAAAGAATGAATGAATTTAAGGCCAATGTGAGAAAGGTTCCTTTGGCTGAAATGGAATATAGAAAATGAAAGACACTTAAATAGCTACAGACACTCGAATTACTACAGAATGGTATCCTGAGCTGTTACTCAGTGACTCCATGATCAGGCAGGCCCACCTTCCACATGAAGCAGAGATCTTCCTCTTCTTGGGCTTTCTTGCACTTCTCCAATTTCCTACCTCTATTTTGTTCTCCAATCATCCCTTAGGTTTACCCAAGTCCCACCCTGTTCACAAAACATTTCCAACAACCCCAGTCTACAGTGGCTATGCCCTACTATGAAATCTGGGTGAATTAATTTTCTTGCATTTTATTTTTTAATTTGGTTCAACTCTTCCCAACCTTAGCTAGAAAACTAATAAGCCAGAATGACCAAGGAATAAAATTTAGATGAAAGTTACAGGGGAACCTTACTCAACCAAATATCCAAAGGCATTTTATACTTTCAGGAACAATACATCAATGATAGGGTACGAGAACCAGAGTACAGAAATAAATCCATGTGCCTATGGAAATTTTCCACATACGCATTAGGTTTCTTGAATTCAACTGAAAGAACTCGGTAAAATAGAGTAGGAGGATTGGACAGCGTGAGCATGAGAGAAGGAAAAGTGGTGGGAAGGTCTGGTGCCTATTTCAGGCAATGAACACATTTCTGGAGAGAGCACCACAGGCAGGATGGGCACCTGCCACGCCCCCAGCTGGTCTAGTTCCTTGTGCCTGTCCTAGCATGAACATCTCACACTGAATATAGTTCTGGAGAGTAACTAAACCCTACCTATATTTGATGCAACAGGGCCCTTGGCTTGTTGAGAGACAGGATATTAGGATATTCAAGGTTATTTGAACCCTGGGAAATTTTTGCCTTAGATGTTGACCCATACAGTGCCTGATGTATAGAAGCTAATCATGAACATCAGTTAATGAATCAGTGTAGCTCTACTGCCCTTCACAATTCAATTTACACTCTTCCCTTCCTGGCCTTTATTCTCTTGTTTCATAGGCATTATTTGAACACCTAGTATGTGACCAGTACCATGTTAGGAACCAGAGATTCAAAACTGAACAAGTGACACACTGTTCTCAGAGTGTTCAAAATATAGTGTGGGGATAGGGAGTGTGTGTATGTGTGTGTGTGTGTGTGTGTGTGTGTCTAGGGATATTTGGGTTGTGGAGATATGTGTGTATGCATTAATATATAAAGTTATATCTGTATACAGGTAAGTAAGGATATGAAGATGGGGGTGGGTAGAGATGTGCACACGTGAGGGGGTAGGAATATGCAGGAATGGGGTTAGGAGTATGTAAGGTTTGGAGGGAAATATGTACGGGAGAGGAGCAAGTAGGGATGTGGAGTGGGGTAGAATATGTCGGGTCATGTCCAGAAGCAGGAGGACCCTGGGGGTTAGGAGAGGGAGGGTATGTAGAGATATTTGTGGGAGAGGTAGCTGTATGTAGAGGTACATGTGTGGGGAGTATTAGAGGTGGGGAGGGGCATGAGAGATGAGTGTGGGAATTGGGGTACACAGGCCATGCCTTGGGGCCTCATAGGGCTACTTGTGAGTCTGTGAATCTGTTGTGCCTCATTCTCAGATTTCTGAACCATGTACAAAGCAAGAAGGGAGGCGCATCAATGACTCATTACAGGAACAGTCTCGTGTTTTCCCCAAGAGAACTTGTTTCCAGCCCTTGGAAAAGGAACAGCCACACTGTTGCCCCAAGCCCAGCCCGCATCCCTGTTCTGTGCCAGCAGCACACACTGGCCAGCTGCCAGGTCCCCATCTGCAGGTGGCTGGGAAAGGAGGGGCAAGGAGAGGGACACCCACCTCTCGCACTGTGCTCCTGCGTAGCCGGGTTTGCAGGCGCACCTCACGTTGGCCCCGCTCACGACACAGCCAGTGGCAAAACTTAAGAGGAAGAAAGAGACAGGACACAGTGAAAACATGATCCCTCGGGCTTCGTGCTTAATTCTCTTTTACCACAAAGGGCAGACTGTATCAAGTGAACACTGAAACCCACTGCATGAACAAAAATTTGCTTTGCAACCAAAAAGAAGAAAGCTTTGCCCCTCTAGACTGGTGGCGCTCAGGATGAATTATGTCAGCTAATACTGGACAAACTGCAGGAGATAAGACCTGAAAGGCACCCCCTTTTTTTCTGATTGGAGAGGTGCATTCCTTCTCTTGGGACAAAGCAGAGTAACTCACTCTGGAAGAGAGGATTACAACAATGTTTTTTCCAGGAATAACAAGGAAGCAATACAACAAGTCTAGGCAGGGGGATAAAAAAAAAGAAGAAGAGTTCTATTCTTTTTTGAAAAATGTCTCCTTGCTTATTCTAGTTTATTTTATATTCAGCACATGGCCAAGGCAAAGGTGGCAGGGGGGAGGTCAGGCTCGGTGTGTGTGGCGGGGAGCTGCCCAGAGAGGAGCCCAGAGCAGTTCATCCTACTTGGTATTTTTGTGGGTTTAGTTATTGGCAATTTTCAAATTGAGCCATAAAATTTGGATTCTTCTTATTTTAGCTCTAAACTGATGTATATTTGAAAAGAAGCCCCCTGTCCCAAAAGAGATCATGTAAAATTGTGATCGTCAGCTGGGTGCAGTGTCCGTATACCTGTGATCCCAGTGGTTCGTGAGGCTGAGGCAGGAAGATCACAAGTTCAAAGCCAGCCTCAGCAATTTGGTGGGCCCTAAGCAATTTAGCGGGCCCTAAGCAATTAAGGAAGTTCCTATTTCAAAATTTAAAAAAATATAAAAAGGATTGGGGATGTGGCTCAGTGGTTATGTAGCCCCTGGGTTCAATCCTCAGTACCAAAAAATTAAAAAAAATTTTTAAATTAAAAATTGCAAAATATCTATGCTGTTCATTGAACATTACATTGATATAAATCTGAGGGGAAATTGTTCTGCTTATCACTTGCTGATAAGAGAATTCATAGTTGGGAAGCCTCTGTTGTCTTATTAGATGGACTCAGACTCCTCTACAGGGGCAGTTCAGAGTTTTTAACAGTATTGCTGTTGCCAGAAGGAGAATTCCATGAAAACATAGCTTTACTGATAAACCCAAGGAACTACATGTTACTCCAACTCCGACAGAGCAAGAAGCTGACCTTTATGGGAAAAACATGCTTTGCAACCAAAAATGAAAAGGTTTCCCCAAACAGCTGGTGCAAGCTTGCCACTTTATACTCCTGCCAGCTTCTGTTCAAGCAAGTCTGGGCAAGCGTAGTGATAGATCCCTGTACAAATAAACCTGCAGGACTGGGCAGGCTGAAAAGGTATCAAATACATAGATAGCAAAGCGGAGTGAACATTGCAAAGACAGATCTCCAGAAATGCACACTTGGCCACGTGACTTCTAGAGATGTGAAGTCTTGGCCAATTTGTCTGATATCAATCCACTTTATGGCCCCTTCTTATTTCTGAGCCTGTGGACTCTGGGTTACTTTACCAGTTTCTTGATTTTCAAACTGACTCGTGCTTTGCTTCCTTGTCTGTTATGTTCTTCTTTGCTTGGACCCCAGGGTGAACACAGGAGGAGCAAGAAGATGACCAGGTGCCAAACCCAAGCAGAACATGGATAACCATAAAAAGAAAATGGTGTCTCTACCTACATAGATTGTTGGCCTCCTGAAGCCTGAATGACACTCAGATCCTCACTCAGGGGGTCAGAACTGTCCCAAGTCTTCTATCACACTAATGATAAAACCTAGATGTTGGCTGGAGCCTGCCAGGTTCAACAGGACCTGAGCCCCAGCTGACCCTCCAGCCTCATCTCCAGCCCTCTTGGAACTGAGAAAAAACCTAATTAAACCCTCCAGCTCCACTTACTTTTAGTTAATTCCTTTCAGCTCCCTTTTAAAATCACTCATCTGGAGGTCACGCAGCTGAGCAATATATTATTAGTCTCCCACTAGCTCTGCTATAGATAACGCCTCTGATGGGTGGATCTTGATGATAATGGTTGCCTAGGTTACTTGCCAGGGACTGGAAGGCTGCTTTTGTTGAAACCGCCAACTCTTCACTGGGACCCGTGCAAGTGTCCTCTTTGAATGACTTCTCTGACGTCAAGGGACCAAAATACTCTACCCTCAGATCAGGCTAACTCTGCCATTTTCTGAACATGTGTCCTCTGAAGAACTTCGGAGATTGATTATGCACATACAGACAACTGATTACTTTGCTTTCCCTCACCTCAATCACCTTTCCTCCTGCGGTAAATCACCCTTTTTCTTTATCCCATAAATATTCCTAAATTCTTCTCTTAGGAAGATGAATTTAAGGCTTGCTCTTCTGTCTCTGCACTTGACCGCCTCATGAATAAATTATTTCTTTTGCAAAACTTGTCAGTTCAGTGATGGGCATATAGTGTGATGGGCCAACGGGCCTGATTGGATACATTCTTCTTGCACTGCATTTCTGCTCCTCCTGACTGTCTGTGAGCATAGCTTCCTGGGGGCTTCCCCTGGGGACCTCATGGCTAAGATACTACTTTGCTTACTTCACCCCATCATTCCAGTACCTGCTCAATAACTCAAGGCTTCCTTAGTGATTCCCTCCCTTGGTTTTTATTTCACTTGCTTGTTGAATGTGTTCATTTTTTAAATATAATAGCTTTATTGAGAAAAAGGTCAGGCCGAAGGGCTATCAAATGCATAGAGAACAAAGCAGAGTGAACATTTACATACCATAAAATTCGCCCATGTGAGTTGCACAATTCAGTGGCCTGGGACAGTTATAGAATTGTAGAACCATCACCATAGTCAAGCTGAGGATATTTCATCACCCCCAAAAGAAACCACAGCAGTCTCTTTCCTTTCCTCCTATCTCTCCTTCTCACCCCCAATTCCAGGCAACCACTAGACCACTTCCTGTCACTAAGGTTAATTCCAAGCTTCTACAGTACCTGTTGGTATGAGGACACGGGCAGACCCTACAGGATCCATGGACAGCATTTCCATAGTGACCCTCCTTGCAGCGTTCACAGTGATCTCCAGCCGTATTATGCTGACAGTTCTTGGGACAGATGAACAGGACAATGAAGAGCATCCTATTACATTTATTAGTTTTGAGGTCATTGTAATCTTACACAATTATAACTTAAGTCCTCTGACTCTACAGTGATATCAGTTCTGCTAACAGTGTGTTCTTTCTATCTAATCACTGTCGGTGCCACACACACACAAAGGTACATGTGACTTATATATAAGTTATTTGGAGGCATGATGTAGTGGAGAGAGACCAGCTAGATTCAAATCCTGCTCCGGTAATTTCCTTCATTTCTCTACACTTTACTGTTATTTTTTTAAAATCAATTCCCTGATGTGTCACTAAATACAATTTTAATTCGATTAAAATGTATAGTTAGAATAATGCAAATTTCCAAAGCTGTTGGGAGAATTTAAAAAAAAAGTATTTGACCCTGGGGAAATGTAGATTTTCTTCCCTTTTTCCCTTTAGATTGCTCCTGTGAAGCTAGGTATGCAGCTTAGTGTAGGGTGTTTGCCTAGTATGCATGAGGCCCTAGGTCCAATCCCAAGCACCACAAAAGGAAGAAAGAAAATTTTTAAAAAATTTGCTTCTATGAAGATTAACTTCATTTTATTTCAAATTCACTTAACATTGATACATTGAAGAGCAATAAAATTTAAATGTTTTTAACACATGGAATTTGTGAAAATAATAAAAAAAAGTTGCATAGGATTTGGAGGAAGCACTCAAGTCCCAAAGAAGCAAGAAATTATTTCTAAGCATTTTACTTACATAATGCAAATTCAATTAGCCTCATGTCAAGGTTAATGTGTAATAAGTTGATCTTCAGTACAGTGTTGTGATAGAATTTTGCAAGTGAACTATTGACATAAACCCTAACGGATTGTGTGGAATTTGTTCTGTGGAATTTTTAATCCAGTATAACCTTTGTTGGCTTTGCCCTAGTAAAAAAGATTTAAATGCACAAAAACATACAGGAAAATTCCCCTTGCCCTGGAAATTAGGCAATTCAGACTTTTTTGTATTAATTAAATGATCTGGAATGAGTATAATTTAAAATTTTTGCTATATGTCTACATGCAGAGGTAGCACTTGAGCAGGAAACTGTAATAGGTATGAGTTTTTAAATAATATCTGAAGCTCAGCTGGGAAAACCAAAGTACATACATATCATGAGAGGACTGAACTTGTTTGCAATGGGAAAGAAAGACTGCACTGTGATCCTGAATGTCATCGTTTTGTCCAGATTAAGCAAATCCACCCTTTGTGAACATTTGAGTAAATGAGAATTATACAAAACTATTAAATAGGAGGAACGAGTTCTAGTGCTTTCTACAAGCCTGAAGGATGACCCACTCAACGATCCTTTATGGTATATTTCAAAACAGCTAGGAGAGGGGATTTTGAATATTCCTAACACAAGAAAATGATAAATGTTTGAGGTGTTTGGTATGCTAATTACCTGATTTGGGCTTTCCATGTTGAATGCATGTATCAAAATATCACATTGCCCCCCATAAGAATGTACAATTATTATGTCTTTTGAAATGAACAAAACACTATGATGTTAAATAGTTTTTGTTGTTGTTTTAGATATAGAACTGTGCTATAAACACAGGAGATTAATGTTTTAGAAAATAGGATGCTATTCACATGTTCCCATGTGATCATCACCGGAAAGCTCACCCTATCTGGAATCCTTCCTTCCCCCAAATCCCACTGCAGTGTGGATTTCTTCTTTCCAACCAGACATTGGAAGCAAATCCACCCTACTCCACAGAGAAGCACTGTCCCAGTGTCAAATGAGGACATGAGTGATTGCCTTCGCCTTTTTTTTTTTTTTTTTTGCTCAGCTGTCCTGACCCACTCATGAGACATCCTCATTTTGAGCTAATTGTTTACATTTCAACTCTAGTTTTTCTTTCTTTTTAATGCACATCACAATGTTAAAGAACATGCCTGGATAGATGTAGTTTAGTCCTATGCCTACTTATCTCCAAGACAGAAAACACTGGAGAAACAAGAATTGCACTTGAGGGCATCTATCTCCTGCTCAAAACACTCTGACTGCTGATCCTCCCCAGGGGTGAGGAAAAGAGGTTCCTGGAAGGGGGTCAGAGCCATGATGCTTAATGAATTCCCATAAGAATGTTTCAAATCTCCATGCTAAGAGTTGACGTTGGATTCCCTGGAAGCTGTCTTGATCAGTCCTGCAAACTTATATGTGAATTATCCCTGATTTTAGAGATTTACTTTGAACCTTGAGAGACCAAAGTCAATTTGCAGCAGAATCGGCCTAAAAGACATTTTAATATTGAAAGGTACTTGGTCTCTGCATCACTGTGCCTTGAGAATGCAAGATGCTTTCTTGGCTTTCCATGTAAAGGCATATTTTGGAGTAGAATCAGTACTTAGTACTTGCCATTGAGCAGTTTGTTGAATGCAGACAATAGCTCCATGTGTGCATGTGTGTGTGTGTGTTCACATATGCATTTATGTGCATAGCATATGTACTACATGCACACTACACAGCAAGCCTCTTGAGAGTAGAGATTGTCTCTGATGGTTTTTAACTCTGGCACTTGGCTCAGTATCTAGCACATTATCAAATACTCAGTAAGGATTTCCTGAATGAATAGTCTTTAGGGGCCATGTGGTTATTGGAGACAAGTGAAAACAGGGTGGAAAAGATAGGAAATGGGAAACAAAAATCTTATTTGATTAAAATATGAATTATGATTCTTATAGGTTCTCCTTTCACGGGGCAAATCGACTGTAGAGAAAATTCTTTGTTCTTTGGCAGCTTTTATAATGTGGACTTGACATCTTGCAATGGTTCGGTGATAAGATAAATATTTATTTTTAATTAAGGCATTCACTTGTGTTACACACAACCTATAGTATCCAACATAAACTGTTATAAAGGAAGGCCTAGGAGCTGGAAAACAACCTTTCTCAGTGTCTTTTCTTCTTTTTGAACTTATAAGGTTACAATCCAACACAATATTCTATCAGGCAGCCCTTCACAACCCTTTCCTGTTCTGGCCTGTCCCATCTTGCAGAGGAAGCAGCTCCCTGGGACGTGCTGAGCTGGCTCAATACAGTCTAGGAACTCTGAGCAATGGAAACACACAGTAGTTGAATTAAAGGAAGTCCATGGCAGCAGAGGGGAGCCCTCCAAGAACACAGCACTACTGGGGCCCTCTGTATTCCTGGAGTGAGGATGTTCTCTCCTTCCCTTGATGGGGAAGGTCCTGGCTACTGGGTAGAACTCTGATCAAAGGGAGGAAGGAATATAGAATATAGAAGATTATAATACAGAATATAGAAGATTCAGCTTTAGGATGAAAAAGAAAAAAAAATTCCTAAGAAACTCATTTTATGTAGAAGGATTTTATAAAACATCCCGAAAGAAGTTCATTTTCAGTGGATAATCAATAGAATCTGGAGCGTTGAGAAAAGAAGTCAAATGCAGGCCCTGAGGAGGCTGAGGGGAAAGGGAAGTGAGATGGTACTTTCCTTTCCCACACACAGTGCACTTACCCACCATTCCCATAAGCCCACTTTGTCTTGGCAATGGTGGAGGGTTTCTTTGACTGATTGAGCATGAGCCATAAGCGTTCCTCAGCATTTCCTTCTCCCCTGAGTGCTTTCTTGAGTTACTGTCCACCTGACACTAGCCAGTCCTCCTCTTGCAACCTCCTCCCTCCCCAACAGAACTGGGGCTCAAGGTAATCAGCTCTGACATTATATGCTGGCAAGAGCTAAGTCCCCAGGTCCACCTTCTAATATAATTTAATAAGGCAGAGATGTAGAAACCAAGGTGTAATGGAACCATTCAGACAGCTGTTCTCTTCTGATACTGCATGTTAAGATGAAGGAAAAAGTAAAATGAAATATACATAACTCAGCCTGATGGCGCTGGAGCCTCCTGCATGGTCATAGCAACCTCTACTTAGGGTGTGGTAAGAGATGACGCTGATGTCTCAGGGCACAGTAGGAGGGAAAGAGGAGAAACAGATTGCCTGCAGATAGCATCAGACTATCAATTTACTCACAGTACATATGCCGGAGCCATCCTGGCATCGATTTGAATGTCCGTTGCAATTGCAGGGAACACACCTTCCGGTAAGGGAGCCTTTGTTATCCCGATAATATCCAGGGCTACAACCCTATTTTTCAAAAAAAGTGTTTAATCAATACAAAGAAAGAGAACAATTAATATCCAAAGCACTGACAATTCTAACTGAGAAGATTTCATTTCCCTTTTCTTTCCTTTAGTCAGTGTGTACATCTCTAATTTCAACCACTAGCTTGATCCACCTGCTTTTTTTTGTCAGGTTATGTTCTTTTTCCATGCCACAGTGGGTGTGTGAGATGCATGGCAGGGAACTCAGAGAGAGGAAAGGGGTAGAAGTGGGGTCCCTCTTCTCCTGCTTCCTGTTTGGTTTTTGGGGTACTGGGATTGACTCAGGAGCACTCAAACGCTGAGCTACATCCCCAGCCCTATTTTGTATCTTTTTTAGAGACTGGTCTCACTGATTTGCTGAGTGCCTTGCTTTTGCTGACGCTGGCTTTGAACTTGTGATCCTCCTGCCTCAGCCTCCCAAGCCACTTCCTGTTTGTTTTGAGGATGGGTGGAGGCATGGATGGGTAAAGGGGATCAGGACTGTGAATCTTCTGGGTTCTTCTGGGAACAAAAGCTAAGAGTAGCTGAGCCCTCTCAAATCATGGGTTTGGGTTGGGAAGGAGCAACAGAGAAGGAGGAAGATTGAGGTGTGGTAGAGTCTTTAATAGGGTTTGCACAATAATGGCCAAATTGTTGGAATCACCTCACTGCCTCTTATTCATCTGTGGGCAACAGGGAACCCGAGGAGAGGTGAGGTGCTTGAATTCTTATACAGGACTATTCACCAATATTTGGTCCATGGTGAACACACTAAGACCCAGCCTGAGAGAGTCTCCTTGGGTTTGTTCAATATTGCTTTAATTATTTCTATCTCCAGTATATGGTCTCCTTCCTGAGTAATAATACTAGTTGTTATTTTTCATCTAAATAAAAATAATTATAGTTTTTCATGAACTGATTCTAGTTAAGAAAGCCTCCAATAAATTAAAAAAAAAAGCCATGATCCTGGTTGCAATTGCAGGGAATACACCATCTGGTAAGTGAGCCTTTGTTATCCTGATAGTATCCAGGGCTACAACCCTGTTTTTCAAACAAAGTGTTTAATCAATATGAAGAAAGAGGACAGTTGCTATCCAGGGCACATGACAGTTCTAACTGGGAAGACTTCATTTTCCTTTTCATCCCTTCAGTCAGAAATCACTTAAATTTCTGTCTTTAAAGAGGACTACAGACATTCTTTTAATTTTAGCAGAGCTAATCACAAAGTCAGACATTGCCCCTAGTTTGTTACGCTGGTCTCCTATATGCCCTATCTTTAAAGCATCAGTGAAAAAAAAATAATATTTTAAAATAAAGGGGAGTCTTTCATCTAATTTTCTTTAAACAGCACTTATGTCCATCAAATTCTGAAGTCATGATCAACACAAATCTTGAAATGAATGTTTCATCTGTAACCATAAAAGTCTCTGCCTGGATAAATGGAGGAGAAGAAGAAGCCACCCCATGGACACTCCCCAGGGTGGAACCCCATGTTGCTGCCCAGAGCACCTTCCCACATTACCAATGACCACTGATCGATCATACACAACAACAGGTCAGAATTTCCAATATGATATTCCTTTAAACCATTAGGAACTATGTTTAGGCAAAAGAACACATTGGAAAAAGTTAGATTTCTTTGTATGCTATATGAACAGACTTGTCTAAAGGAGAATCAAAGTATGAAAGGAATGTTCTTTTGCTGAGAGCACAACGGATAAATACATCTGAACAAAATTCAGCCATCGATGGTGTGATCCTATCTACAACAAGCACCTACGGTTATCACCATACATCACATTGCCTACCTAAAAAATAATTGTATTTGGTAAAGAACAAATTATTTAAATCAACAGATAGATCTGGTTAGTTTGTATCAATGTACTTGAGTAAAAGCCTTAATTAAACATGCTTTGAGAAAGGCTAATCTCTCTTGATTAAAATTAAATCACTCATCTTAATTTGCTTTTGATTAGAAGCAGAAAAACAGTCTGCAAGAGTTACATGTCATATGACTGTTGGAGCATTACTGAAATGTCATCACATCCCCCCTCTAGAAAACAAGCAAACTCAGATTCTACATAAAATTTAATTCAAGCATTCAGATTGTATTGGGCACTTAGCTCTAAATAAAAATAAAGGGGTTGTTAACTAGTTAACCTTTACAAAGTGATCATTTTTCAAGATAGGTTTTCCAGTAAACTTTTATGTTGTAAATGATAAGATCGCGCCCCTACCCAGTTTCCAAAGGCTGTTTTAGCAGCCATAGGATCTATTTCTGTAGGTGTACATAATATCCAGGAAGTTTAAATAAAGAGCAGAGTTTATGTATGCCTCACGCCTGGCAAATCGAAGCATGCCTGTTAGATATTATGCAAACTTTGATTACTCTTCTTAGGCATGGATTTCACTTTTTGTCGCATTTTACTTTGTGGGTAAATTTTCCTGAAGGTAGAATTTGGAAAGCTATAGGTAATGGATTCTTTTTGCCCCGAGGCTTGAGTTTCTCCAGGGCACCAAGTTTCACAGTCTATTAACAGCCACAAGCATTCAAGCCCTTAACTATCTCAGGCATTTCCAGGTGGGCTGATGTTTATGGAGTTTGTGGTTAATAGCTCAGGAGAGCAATCTGTCAGGTACTGTAATAAACACTGCCTGTCAATGCAGGGGAGGCCACCAGCCCCTCCCCCAACCCACCCATTTACTTCTTAATCACCCTAACTTAAAATGTCATAAAGCTGGGAACCCCTCCCCATCCCAAATCAAAACTTAAAAGGGACATTACCTGGCTGGGTCTAAACTCCACATAACTTGTTTGCAGATGACTTTGACCTGGAGGCTGAAGAAATGCTACCCTTTGTTGCTGTGAACTGTATCCCAGACACTGCCCGAGGGCTGCCCCAAAGATCCACAGCCATCCGGTGCTCCAGGCTGGCCGCCTCACTGCGGGGGGCATCCTGGTCCCGGGAGTCCTGCTGGCTGCACTGCACACAAATCTCTACCTCTTCCTCTTATACCTGCCCTTCCTGCTCAGTGCCCAGGCCTGCCTGACTCAGGTAAGGAAGGCTGTCTGCGGCAGGGGCCCCACCTTTAAACTTCACACATGAGTCAGCCTGTGCCAGAACGCACATAACAGTCCCGCAGGGAAGCGCACCGCTCTGTAATTCCTGTGAGGTGGGGCAGGCATCACCTTCTACCCACCTCACCCCGCAGACAGCACTAGACGATTAGAACAGCCATAAATCACAGGCTGAGTCACCGCAAAGAACACACCCTGAGCAGGAGGGTGGTAATCCAGGTTCCCCTCTTTACCTAGGGCTATCTATTTTAATGGGGCTAGAAAAGAGATGGAGCAGAGGGCGATGAATGGAGGCGATCTATGGGCTAAAAGTCACAAGACAGGACAGAAAACCACAGCAGGAAGATATTTCCAAGTTTAAAAAGCAGAACTCTTATGTGCAGATCACCTTTGGGTTTTCTGCTCTCAAAGGGCCAGGAAAGAAAGTGAAGAATTTTGCCACTCACATTCTGAATATAGACTACAGAGAATGGTGAAGTTCGCCTTCTCCTGCTCATTGTACTAACATGGAGCTTTCCCTTTGGGGAAAGAGCACATTTATAGTGTAAGGTATTAAATAATCCCATTTTGGGGGGTACATTTTAGTTTCTGGAGGACAATTCGGGTTGACAGGACCTTAAAGAATGAAGACCTGCGGAGAACTAGAAAATTGGAGCAAGATTTCTTCTCAAAGAATCTGGGAAATTCTCTGGAATTTTACTCTTTCTGCAGACCAGGAGGTGGTGGGAGGGAGGAACTGAGTTAGAAAAAGGCGAAAGCACTCTGGGTCAGCTCATGGGAAGCAGAGATTCAAGTATGGGGATGCTGACCAGTGGGCTCCTTTCTGCTTCTGATCTCTTCATCCACTGGATGCCTGTGGTGTCCCATGCATATCTTTTTCATATTTATTTCCTGGAGGTAGTCTAGGTAAGACATAAGCTCTAGCCCAGCAGAAGCTTGGAGATTGGACAAAGTGTCTCAAACCATCCCGTGGTGTAGGACAGGAGCCAAAAATTAGCCAGCCACAGTTGCTGCCCCAGGGGAATGCTGTGGGTGGGAAATTTTCCTACCTGACATGAGTCACCCATATAGTCAGGGGGACAGGTACACATCTCCACTTCATGTGCTCTGCGTCCACTTCCTGTGTCGGAGGCCTCCTCCAGCCCCACCTCACCCAGGGTGAGCCTCTGTGTCTCGGTGAAGTGGAGGCCCCGGATGTGCAGCCCCTGGAGTCTAGACAGGACCGTCATCAGCTCTTCCCTGGACACTGGGGCTCTGCTGCTGGCATGTCTGAAGTTTCCCTGTAAGGGAAAATGGAGAGGCAGGGGCTTCCTTAGGCAGTCTCACTGCCAGGGAGTTCAGAGGCAGACCCCAGAACAAATGCAAAGGAAGATATCCAGGAGGCAGATGGAAAATCCAATCAACTAAGATGGGGAAGTCCCTCCTGGGACATTTACATTCAGAAACAGATGTCTTGGGTTACTCCCAGGAAGGGAGAGAAACACAAGATGTGGGGAAAGAAGCGTGGGGAACCGAGAGCACTAAAATGATATGCCATGTCCCCGTGATATGCTTTCTTTTAAAATGCACATTTGTCTGGGCAAATAAAAAGTGACTGACAAAGATATAGGAAAGGCAGTCATTAAATGACATAATGGTGACAGTACAATCTAGCACATACTCATTTTATTTTTATTGTTGTAAAAACACATCACATGAAATTTATTAGCTTATCATTTCTAAGTGCACGGTGCAGTAATGTGAGCTATAAGACAACGCCGCATGATGGACCGCTAGCACTTGCTCTTCTCGCAAAATGGAAACTCTAGACCCACTAAACGAGCCCCCTCTGCCCCTCCTCCAGCCCCTGGCAACCACCATTCCAAGAGTTAGAATACTTTTGTAACTCCATCAGTGGAATCACATAGTAGTTGTCATTTTGTGACTGGTTTATTTCACTTAGGGCACTGTCCTCAAGGCTCACCCATGTGGGTTTGTCCTCCTGTTTAAAGTGTATACTACATTTTATTTATCTCTTCATCTATTGATAGGCATCTAGGTCATTTCCATTGCTTGTGGATAATGCTGCAAGGAATGTAGGTCCCCAAATATATCTGCAAGATCCTGTTAGCAATTCTTTTAGATATACACTCAGAAGCAACATTGATAGTTCTATATAAACATTTTTAGGAACCTCCACGTTGTTTTCCACAGCAGATGCACAATTTTACATTCCTACATACAGTGCAAAAGGGTCTCAATTTCTCCATATCCTTGCCAACACTTGTTATTTATTTATTTTTACTGTTGTTATTGTTTTAATAATAATCATAGTAATGAGGGTGAGGTGGCGTCTCACTATGGTTTTGATTTGAATTTCTCTAATGATTAATGATGCTGAGCATCTTTTCACGCAAAAGCTTTCACTTTTGATCTTTATATTCTGTTGTCTCCTTTGAACTCAGTTTCTACATCTCTTAAATGAGCACAGTAATACCTAATATCTCAAAGCTGTCATGAACATTAAATTAAATATAATGTGTATAAAATGTTCCGCACAGTGCCTAGCATTCAATCAATGGTAGCTATTATTATTAACATAAATATAATACTTAAATAATTTTAATGGATGGTTTTAACAGCTTGGGGTATAATCTGTAGACAATAATATTCTCTTATTTTAGGTGTAAAATTTTTAGTAAGTTCACAGATTTGTAAAACCATCACCATAATGCAATTTTAGGATATGTTATTATCCCCCAAAGAATCCATATGCCCATTTTTAGTTATTACCCATTCTCACCCCCTCCCAAACACTAATCTCTACCCTGTCTCTATAGATCTACCCATGCTGGAGAATTTATATAAATACCAACTTAATGTCAATAGTCCACCAAAACTTTCCTTCTATTGCCTTCATTTCCTCTCTGCTCCTTTGGGTTATTATTGTCATATAAATGACATATTTATACATTATATGCCCATCAACAAACATTTATAATTATTGCTATATGCAGTTGTCTTTTAAATCGGACAGGAGAGAAAAAAATGTCAAACAAGAGTTAGAAGGTCCTTTATATTTACCTCTGTGGTTGACTTTTAACAATGATCTAGTTCTTCATGTGGATTTTTGAGTTTCTATTTAGTGTCCATTCATTTCAATCCAAAGGAATTCCTTTGGCATCTCTTATCAGCAAAGTTGGTTAGCAATACATATATACACACACATATATGAATGAATATTTATATATATATATATATATATATATACACACATATATATGAACACACACACATACTTGAATGTCTTCATTTTTCCTTCTTTTTTGAAGGACATTTTGCTGGATACATAATTCTTTATTGATGATGTGTTTCTTTCAGCACTTTGAACATGTTTGCCACTGCCTTCAGATGAGTTAGCTATTTATCTTATTGAGGACCACTTGGATGTGATGAATCACTACTCTCAAGGTTTTCTGTCTCTGTCTTTCAGCATCTTCACCGTGGTATGTCTCTGTGTGGATCTCTGGCATTAGTCCTATGCGGAGATTTATTGAGCTTTTTGGATGTATGTATTAATGATTTCAACAAACTGGGGGAAGTTTTCAACAATTAATCCTTCAAATATTTTTTCTTTCCCTTTTGCTCTCCCCTCTCTTTCTCGTATCCCCATTTTGCACGTGTTCATACACTGGACGGTATCCATCGTTGTTTAAAGTCTGTTTATTTTTCCTCATTCTTTTTCTGTTTCTCAGATTGAATAATCTTACTTGACCCTCTTTAATTTTGCTGATTTTTTCCTTCTGCATGATTACATTTGTTTCTGAGCCTTTGTCTTCGTCAACCTGGGCTGACATACAAAGTCACATATACGGGGTGACTTAAACACAAGGAATTGATTTCCTCTCAGTTCGGGAGGCTGGAAGCTGTGGATCAAGGTGCTGGCTGAGCTGCTTTGGCACCTGGTGAGGCTCTCTTCTTGACTTGCAGGTGATTATCTTCTCACTGGGTCCCATGGGGGAAAGAGTGAGCTTGCTGGTGTCTCTTCTTAGGAGGACACTAATCCTACTAGAGCGTCACCTTTTTATGTCATTTAACCTTAATTACTGCCTTACTCCAAACACAGCCACACTGGAGGTTAGGGCCTCAACCCTCAACCGAAGGCACAAGGACATGATTCAGTCCACAGCAACCCTTTCTAGTGAATTCTTCATTTTGATACTAAATTCTTCAACTCTAGAAATTCTTTCTTATAATTTCTATTTCTTACGTTATATTCTCTATTTTGGGAGATATTGTTTTCAGATTTTCTTTTACTTCTTTAGACATGGTGTCTTTTAGTTCTTTGAGCATGTTTAAATGCTGATTTAAAGTCTTTCTCCATGAGTCGAATGTCTTTGTCTTCCTCAGTAAAAGTGTTATTTATCGATTTTCCATTAACTCCCCTTTTTATGGACTATATTTTCTTGTTTCTTCACATATCCCCAATTTTTTGCTGAAAGCTGAACATTTAAAATAATATAAAGTGGCATCTCTGGAAATCATATTTGCTCCACTCCCTAGAATTTATTATTATTGTTTGTTTGTTTTATGAACTAAACCTGTAAAGTCTGTATTTCTTGTAAATAACCACTAAAGTCTCTGCTTTGTTACCCTGATGATCAGCTAATAATCCGCAGAGATTTCCTTAAATGGCTGGAGTCAAAAAGTCTCCTAATCTTTGCAAAGTGGTTCTGTGCACATATTGGAGAACCCCTTTGACTCTCAACCAGACCGATGATAATTATTGCTATATGCAGTTGTCTTTTAAATCAGACAGGAGAGAAAAAAATGACAAGAGCTTGAAGGTCCTGTTTAGCCTTCACTTCCTGCTTTCATAGTCCCTCAAGGTCAGCCAGAAGTGAGAACTGTAGGGCCTTCTTAGGTTTTTCCTCTGCATGTTCACATACCTGAATGTGTACACAGCTCTGAGCAAGTGTAGCCTCCCACATCCCCAGTTTATGTTGGAGCTTTTCAAAGCCCCTATGGACATCTCATTCCTAGGCATTTTTATTTTAAGCTTTGTGATTACTTTACTGATTGCCCCAATCACTTCAGGTAGTAATAAAGTAAGAATAAAACTGCCTCTGAATGTTTTCAATATCATTTCTAGGGGAAAAGCTCTAATCATGTCAAATAAAGACAATGTTCTACAAATGTACCTGTACAGAAATGTTGAAATATGCCTGAGTTCAAGGAACTCAAAAAAATGTCATCTTGAGGTATTGAACATATACTTAATAATATAAATGGAACAATATTTTTAAGGAATAGTTATGATCAAGTAGGTGTAATAAAATATTTTATGATCTGATGAGGCTTTATTTGACTATATTTTTATTTCTCTTGATGTAAGACATTTTCAGGGCTTTTCTACCCATCCACACCAAGAATTTGTTGGGCACTGATCAGCTCCCAAGCACTAAGGGAGACTTAGGAATGAGACTTACAGATGAGGGAGCTATGTTGGTAGCCTTTACAAGCTCACAGGGTTTATAAAACAAGATTAATTAACTGTGAAATGAGAGAGAGTGTGTGTTAAAGGGCCATAAAGGTGGTATACACAAAGCAATGTGAACATCAAATAAATTATATTTTAAAGTATATGAATTATATTTTATATAATTTTGTGTCTTGAGTATATAAACTTATATCTACACAAACAAAAATTTATGAACATAGATATACATAAACATATATAATAAATAAATAACAAAATCTATAAATTATATTTTATGTGATTTGTATTTTGAATATATATAAACTGTATCTACACAAACATAACATATGTGAAAATTCTTAAATAAAAAATTGTGATTGGCTGAAATAAATAGAACACAAACCAAAAAGGATCATTAAGAACCATTAAATAGGCGCCGGGCTCAATGGTGCACATCTGTAATTCCGGAGGCTCAAAAGCCTGAGGCAGGAGGATTTCGAGTTCAAAGCCAGCCCCAGCAAAAAGTGAGGTGCTAAGCAACTCAGTGAGACCCTGTCTCTAAATAAAATACAAAATAGGCCTGGGATGTGGCTCAGTGGTTGAGTACCCCTGAGTTCAATCCCTGATACCCTCCGCCTCACCAAAAGGGAGCCATTGAATAGGTGCTTTTCCTTTACCTCAACTATCTGCACTCTCCCATGATACAGTCGATCTGGCCGGGGGTCACTTGACTCCTCATGGATGATGGACATGTGCTGACCCTGTTGAAAGAAATACATGAAAGTACCAGTCCTTGGTTAGGATGTTTCAAGATTTACAATTTATGTAAAAACAAATATCTATGGATCTACATTATTTGAAAAGCTCAACTCTAAAATGAAGTTCAGGTAAAAGGATTAACAACATGGAAACAGAATAACAACTAATACAGTGATTTTCACATGTAGAAAATTAAGAAAATTGGCTTAACTGAAAAATGACTTAAAAAGATGGAAACAATTTTTTAAAAAATATCCTGCTTTGCAGTAAATGCATGTGGTGCTGTTTTCATCATTGCTTATAGTGCCAGATTGTAGTAGCAGGAAAGTGCTTTGGTGAGTGGGTGACTGGAGGGGGAGGGAGAAAGCAAGGGTTGGCAGAGCCCAGCTGTGAAGCTTGCCTAGGCCTGGAACCACACAGCTGGTGTGTGGAGGGAGGAATTAGCTTGTAGCCTTTGTCCTGTGGGATCCAGCCTTGCTCACTCTCAGCCTTCACCGCTGAGCCATTACACTGGCTCTTAGGGGGCTTTTAATAGAGAAGAATGGGATGATGGGCACCTCCCATCAGCAACCCTACCTCAAGTACACACAGAATAGCCAGCTACAGAATAGCCAGCTATTCTGTGGGACCTCCAAATCTGAAGGCGTTCCATTCATGAGGACTGGGGTTTCAGAAAGAAGAGAATTATCTAGAATCACAAATCATTTAAAGCCTTAATCTAAGAAACATGCCCGAAAGGCTCTTAATTATAGTGGTTTAGAACAAAGCAGGGGAGTAAATGTTTCATGAGCCTAAACCATTTTCCAACTTTAAGGGTAAAATTAAGGAGAAATTTTGGTTATTACCTCTCAGTGAGTTCCAACCGTTTGCATAATCAACTCCGGCACTAAAAATAAGTACACTGATAGCCTGAGCTGAGATGCCCTACTAAACCATGAAACTGAAATACAGCATGCTGCAATAATATTTTTATTGGGTAGCTATTTCTCCTTAGGCTATAACTTGAAAATCTTTCCTACTTTATTTTCAAGATGACCTGCAAAGGTTCCTTGGGGTTTTTGAAACATGTCAATATATTTGCTTATGACTAAAAATAAAACATAGGTTGACCATGCCCCAATGTAAATATCTACTCAGCATGGGAAGCCCTCAGCTGAGCTGTGTGAAACTGTGAAACAACCCTGTTGATAGTAACTGACATGAGAAAACCCTTCAGGAAGTTGCAGTTGCATTGAATTTAATCAGGAGCATATAAACCAGAAATGAGGCCACCTTCAGACTATGGAACCCCGATATCTGCATTTGAGGTAGCATCCTACAATGTAGAGGATGCAAAGTAGGATATGACATCACCCTGCCTCAAGGAATTTTCCAGATTGCCGGTCTCAATTGTGTACCAGGCATATAGAGTGTGGATGCTACTTCCCCAAAAGCCAAAGTAGCCCCCCACTATCTATATCAAGTTAACTTCATAGCATATCAGTAAGCACCCTCCCTACCCTTCCTGGTTTGTTTTCAATAATTCACACACACTGACAAGACAGCCAAGTTGGACTGGTCTCCCTTGAGCACCGCCTCCCGCCCTGCTCTGCCCTATACACCTGGGTTTCCCTGAGTTCTTTCTCCTGGAGAGGCATTTCTCCTCTTGTATCCATTCTTAAGGACTTGGCTCAAAAGGAATCTGTTCCATGAAGCCCTCTGCAGGCCTCTCAGCCTAGATAACTTCCACCTGGACTCAGCCTCCAGCTCCAATACAGCTTTGTTTATTCTTAAATACTTACTGCTCCGTGGATTAAATCATTTGCCTATCTATCCAATTTCCCCCTTTTTAGAGGACAGGGTTACTTATCCTTTACAGAGCCCAGCAGTGCATGTGACAAGAGCTCAAAAACCATTAATGAAACTAAATCAAAAGACAGAAGCACAAAAACATACAACATGAAACAGTTACTTGTGAGAAACAAGGTTGAAACACAGTTAAATGCTTTGGAGGTAGGGGGGACCATTTGGTCAGAGGATACAGGATCCTTTTCAGTTTGGGACACATTGGAAACAACTGTATCCAAACTTTTTATAGGCCACACATCAAGATGTCCTCAATTTAGTTCAGCACAAACTGCAACCACTGTTTCTGCTACTTGAGTTGTGTTCTGATACCTACAGTGAGCTGCACATCTGGCTTTTTTTCCAGAAGAACCATGTCACCAGGTAAGCCAAATGACTTGACTTGATAAGTGAGGAAGCCACCATATGAAGAAACCTAGAATGAAGTAACAGCATAGTGTTAAAAGAGATGATGCCAATATTAACCCACATATAAGGCCCTTGACATCAGGAAAAATACAAAACCAAGGATGACATCTAGAGAGTGGGATTAGGGATAATATTTTATACATATACATATATGTATGCATATGTATATATATGTGTGTGTGTGTGTGTGTGTATATCTATATATATATCTATATCTATCTATCTATCTATCTATCTATATATATATATATATATATATATATATATATTCAATTGTAGTTGGATACAATAGTTATTCATTTTTATGTGGTGCTGAGGATAGAACCAGCACATCACACATGCTAGGCGAGTGTTGTACCACTGAGCCACAACCCCAGCCCTGGGGATGATATTTTAACCTTCTAGTGAACACCATTTTTTATATCATTTAAACTGTATAGCATGAACATGATTGAGTTTTATAAGTGAGAAGAGACTCTTTTTTTCCTAGATGACTATGAAATCAAAATATTTATTTAATCTACAGCAATTCTAGGAAATCTAGGCCACTGGTTTCTTATTTAACCAAGAGACTTGGATAATATCTATCAGTCACAATGTGAACCTCTAAAAATAAATTTTAAAAAAGTCCCCTGAAAACAGATGGTGAATACTTCCCAAGTTATTATGAAGTATACTGGTTACAGACGACATGATCAACAACTGTGTTAGGGACATGAACTGTCTTGGTGCTGGGTAAGCAGTTATGTACATGGTGGCAATGTAACAGTGAATGGTTGTAGTTCTCTGACAATCACTTCACTTTTGTGCTGATGCTTCTGACCTTGAAGTAAACACCAATCAAGAAGGAAGGATGGGAATCAGAGGCACCGTCACTTCAGCTTAACAGAACAAAACACACAGGAAAATGCAAACAACAGAAAGCAGGGGAGAAATAGGGCTTTTTGGAGATCTCAATCCACAGGAGTTTTCCCTAAGATCTATGGTTTGACAAAGCCTCACAAAGTTGTGTTCTGAGAGTTGGGAGGTATTCCAGTGACATCTTGAATCACCTTACTGAGATTGCCTTTCTGATGGGCTAAGGTGGTTTTAAAATTATGTGCACAAATTCTTTGAGACTCCTCTCTCTAGGAAGCCAAACTTAATTCCCTTCCCCTTGAGTGTGGCCTGGACTTAGTGACTCAATTCTAAGGAGTTAATGATCAGAATAAGGCAGAAGTGGGACTATGTCCTTTCTAAGATTAGGTTATAAAGAATTGAGGCTTCAGTCTTGAGTTCTATCATATATTTTCTTTGTCTGTCTCATCAACTGCTCTAGGGAAAGCCAGCTGCCATGTAATGAAGACTCTCAAGTAACCTATAGAGGGTCTCATGTCATGAGGAACTGAGGCCTCCGGCCAACAGCCAGCAAGGAACAGAAGCTGTGCTAACAACTATGTGAATAAATTTGGAAATGAATCCTTCAGTCCCAGATGACTGCAGCCCTGGCTAACACCTGGACCACAACCTCAGAAGAGACCCTGGGCCATCACTTCCTAGGTCCTTAATCCACAGAAACCATGCAATATAATTGTTGCTTTTAAGCTGCCAAGTATTGGTGTAGTGTGTAACACGGTAAGGGATAACCAACACATAGGCTAACCACAGAGAAGTGAAGAGCAATACTGAATGAAGGAGAAGTGGGTCCCATCAGAGAAGCAACATTTCACACTCGAGACATGAAATGCTTAGTCCTTTAACTGGAAGACAGAATTAGAAACCCTAGATCAACAAAATCCTAATATTCAGTTATTCTTAATGTGAGATGATCACCTCACCTGGGGTGGGCCCTGTGAAATCCACCCCTTCTCAAAGTTTCTACCCTTGCAAAACTTGAAGCAATATCACCAGGTGATATATCCACATGGGGCCTGCATTTCTGTCCTCATAAAATAAGCAGAGTTGGCCAGGCTGTGGAATAATAATTTATGCAGCAAAGGAATAACAGCTCATTTATAAGCTCCCCAAGGATCATGTAACTAAATGCACGTGATTCTGCTTATGAAGTTGAGCTGCCACGGATTCTGCACTTCTTTAAATAAGCTTCTGAGTCACTTCTCAGCTTTTGTTTTTCTGACAAGGAGCCTTTCTTCTGCTCTAAAACAAAGAATCTTCAGCATTGGCATTTAAAGATGTACCTGTCCTATGTGCAACAGATATTATTTAAATGGTTATATCTTTCCCTGGAGGAAAAATCCTTTGACGGTAAGTAAAAAATAGAGAAAAAAATGTGCATTATGATTTCCTTTGCTTGGGAGTTTGTGCATGCAGGTCACAAGAGGCACTTTGCCCCTTACATAGGGTCTTCTTCATGATTGATTAACCTTATTTCTAAAGTTTATATATTTATCAGGTTATTTCTTAACCTGAACTTCTTCCTGATGCTTCCTTCCAGACCCCCAGTAGATGATGGTCATGCAGTGATAGAGGAGGCCCATAGAGGGCTCAGAAGAACATCAGGCCATTGTTACCTTGTCCCCCAGGTAAGATGGAGGCGCGATCCAAGATGCACTGTGCACTGTTGAGGGCAGCTCCTGGAGATCTGCCACGACACTGTTGCTACCTGGATTGAATGAAACAGGGACATCCACTCGATCTGCTGTCTCCAGGTGCCATCCCATCATATCCACAAACTGGAACACAAAAGCAGGGCATGGAAATGTGAGTCTGTGACCTCTTGGGGGATGGCTGCATTATGTGTCATAGAAGGAGCCACAGGATAGCCACCTAGCTCCAGAGGCTTCCTTTATGTGTCCCCTCTTTTTAATTTTTATTTTTTGAGACCCAGGCCTCAAGCATGCAAAGCATACACTGAGCTATACCCGCACCCAAGCATCTGACCATGAGCTTGCCCTCCCTAGGACTCTGATGATGGAGCCCTCACCCACCACTGCTCCCATCAGACCCATTGTGACTAGGAGTTCTTGGAGGGCAGTGACCATGCATATGCAGGACTTATCCTTGTATCCCAGCACACATCCTAAGTTCTTGACATTTAGCATTTGGTCAACAAATGTTTGAATCATAAATAATAAGTATATGAATAATAATTAGAACTATGGGCATATTTAATAGGCTAGTTCTATGGAGAAAAATGTGTTGCTGTCATTATTTCTTTGCCAATGGGTCATCAAAATGAAATATTCTCCTGGTCACAAAAGAAGCTGGTTCCATTTTGGGAGAAGCAAATAGAAAGAATTGACAAGGCATAGATTAGGAAAAATGCCTTCTGCTTCCCTGAGGGGTAAGGAGAGAAGACCAGGGCAGATTTACAAACTAATTTTTTTTCCAATTATAAGTCTGCACTCCTTTGTAGGAGGCAAGCAGTAAAATATATAGAATAATCTTCCTTTAAATCTTTGTTGGATATAAGACATTACTCACACAAAAGCAAGCAAGCATGAGGCTATTGGTTCATGGAAAAATGGAAAACAACAGAAGTTGTTTTATGAAGTTAATTTAGACAGTGGCCAAAGAAAAGATGTGATAAAATAGGTGAGAAGGAAAGTAAAACAGGAAGAAGAAGAAAAGAGAAAGAAAAATAAGAAGAAAAGAGAAAGGAAGGATGTGATGTTGTACTGTCATGAAATATATCTATTTGGTCTTTGTTCCTGGTTCCTGGCACGGTGCTCCTAAAAGTCATAATTTTTCAAGTGGTAGGGAGTGATTGTATCATCTTTTTGTCTGATATTTGGTATTAGTCCTCATTTCCTAACACTGGAGCTTCTAAGATCACCAGCTCTCATGAGTGACAAGAGAGTCATGCTAATGAGATAACTGATGATGGGACCACTAGATAGCTTCAAGATGGCGGCTGGTGGCCAGAAGCACCATAGTATGATTAGAGGTTGAAACTGTCAGCCCTACCCAACTGACCTCTTGGGAGGGACTGAGTTGATTAACAATGGCTAATGATTTAATCAATTAAGCCAACATAATAGAATCTTCGTAAAACCCCTAAATGACATTTTTAGAGAGTTCTTGGGTGCTGAGAGGGTATCACACCTCAACTCCATGGTAACAGAAACTCCTGTGCTTGGGACTCTTCTAGACAACTCCTTATATACCTCTTCATCTGGCTGTTCATCTGTATACCTTATCATATCCTTTACAATAAACTAGTAATAATAAGTAAAGTGCTTCCCTAAATTCTGTTAGGCATTATAGCAAGTTATCAAAATTGAGGAGGGAATTGTGGGAACCCCTGATTTGTAGCCATGTCAGTCAAAAATACCTGAGGCCTAGAATTTGCAATTGGCATTTGAAGCAGGGATAGACTTGAGGGACTAAACCTTTAACCTGTGGAGTCTGACACTACCCAGGTAGATAATGTTAGAATGAAATTTAGATTGTAAGACATCCAGTTGGTATTTGGAAAGAAAATTGGAGAACTGTTTGATGTGGGAAAAATTCCACACATTTGATGTTAGAATTGTTGTGAGTATAGAACAGGATTTTCTTTAAGGGGAAAAATAATGGCTATGGTTTGCATCTTTTTTTTATTGTGCATATTGATTATACAGAATGGTGGGTTTCATAGTAGCATATACATAAAAACATAATTTGAGTATGTATTAAAGGTTTGATCCCCAGCAGAGTGCTAGTGAATGGCAAAACCTATAAGATGTGGGGTTCAGTGGAAGGAAGTTAGGTCATTGGGGGTGTCCTTGAAGGACATATTGAGACCCCGGCCCCTTCCTCTTCCATTCTTTTGATTCCCACTACCCTGAGGTGAGCAGCTTTGCTCCACTATTCATTCCCACCATGTTGAACTGCTTCACCAATAGAATGAACCAACTATGAACTGACACTTCCAAAGGTATTCTTTGCATACCTTAGCTCTTTGCTTATGTGCACTGTGACAATGACTGGTCACTCCAAAGGTATGAAACAAAATTAAACTTTTCCCTTCTTAAGTTGATTATCTTGGGTATTTTGTTACAGTGTTAGAAAGCTAATTAATACAACAAACTCCTTCCATTTTATAAGTATTTACAATGCATCTATTATATCCTAGATCCTGCTGTAGCCTCTGAGGATGTATCAAGGAATTCACATTCTAATGGTGGAGGAAGCCAGATAACAAATTTTTCAAATGAAATGCATGATATATCAGCGACTGATAAAAGCTATGGAGAAAACAAGGGTAAGAACATAGAGAGTGACAGGGAATGGTGAGCATGTGACATTTGATCAGAGACCTGATACTTTGGGAAATGATCCTAGGAACATGATCAGTGCAGGCCAAGAAACAGAAAGTACAGCATTCTCACCAATCAATAAGCAAAACGTTCCACAACACCTCACACCAATTTATTTCTTTTTTCATTCAGAAGTATTAAATAAAAACCCAAAAACTCTAATTCTTTGCATACCTTAGCTCTTTGCTTATGTGTACTGTGACAACGACTGGTCACTCCAAAACAGAAGCAGCTGGTGCAACCCTTGGGATTGGCTGGATCCAGATAGAAGGATCCTTCTCGACACGTGTTACATTCCGTACCTTCCACATTTGCCTGTTGACAGGAAACAAGAGGAACATCATTCCTTATAAAGGTTCCCTGATTGCAATCAGCTGCTTGCACAAATTAAATACCAACACGAGATGTTAGAATGTGGATGTTAACAAAATACTCAGAGATATGTCATCACTAAGCTGTTACAGAACTTTGGTTAAGCTTCTATAATATGTGCAAATGGAAGAGAGAATTCATAAGATGCCCCTTCATATCCTGAAGGTAGAGAAATGGCACTACAAGGACCCACAGCATGGTGACACCAATTCACCCCCCTCACCACCACATGGAAACATCTGCCCATTGGGAACATTCATGGATGCAGAGAAGATGTCTTAGGAGGCAGGAGATAGGGACAGGCTTTGGGAACCTATGAACCTCTTGACATTGCAGACAGAAATTTGCAATGATTTTTCTGGAGAGCATATACCCATCATCAGATGCTCAAAAGTGTCTGTGGCCTCTCCAAAGGATGAGGGAGGTCTCCTTTCTATTTCCATGAAGTGAGACCACAAAAAGCTACACAAACTATGGAACTCTATTATGGGTCAGTCTCATTTCTCCCATTTTTATATGCTGAGTCAACATGAAGAACTTTTCCTGGCTCTGGGCATCCCTGGCATTGTGCCGATTGTCTTACCTTGCAGAGGCAAGCCCCAGTCCCCGGGTCACACACTCCTGGCTCAGTCCCATCTCTGTTGCAATTGCAGGGAACACACTCAGGAAAATGGTAGAACCCAGAAGTACACAGGTCACACTGCCGCTCGGTGATCCTGGGCTTGCACCTGTACCCAAAGTGAACGAAAATGAAATTCCTCACCATCTTTCTACGCACCATCCTAAAGGGTCCACCTGCCCTGTGCAGAGCCGTTGCTGAATGAAGTTAGTAACATAGACAAAATCACTGCCCACGGAGTGCTTATCTACAAAGCAGAGCAGAGAGGAGCAGACAAAAGGCACCATTGATTTTGCAAAGCGCATTGTGGAAATTTGGCTGGACAGGTTTTCCGTCAGAGTGGATATACCATTGTACTAAAAACAACATTGAAAAGCTGCCAATTTCTTTGGTGAGTGGTTGGTTGATCTGAAATCCCTCCAGGATGCCGATGCTCAAGCTGTTGACATACTCATGTTCTACTTTCACAACTGTCAGAAAAACATGATGGGGTGAGGAGGTGCTTTTTAAAAAATCGTTCATAGACTTCTGTAAGAGGCAAGATAAAGTTATCATAACAGTGATTCTTTCAATTTGGTGTGTCCTTCGAGTTTTCTTTTTATATATAAAAAAAGTGCTTGGTGAATTCAACAAAAACAAAACAACAAAATAGTTGGTGGCTGGGCTCTGAAGCGCTCTCTGCATCTTTGTCCTGAGAAACGGGATTCTGGCAGGTGCTTCAGCTGGGGAACCATTTTCCTTCTCAGCTTTTCTCGAGATACATGGCTAATGTTCACGTGGTGTCTCATGAGAGGGTGGTTGGAGCATGAGATCTGGGACAAGTAGCTGCTTATTTCCAATGTCCAGGGAATGACTGTAAAATTCCAATTCTCTCCCTTACGTGAGAGGTTCTCCTCCAGCTTTACCATATAAGGGAAACACCAAGTGCTGGGCACCCTCCCTTAGAATTTTCTTCCTTCTTGGCCTATCATTGTCTCTTGTGACTGGCACATTAATATTAGCTGGGCATCTGTGTTGGCAAGGAAGGAGTGTGGTATGCTCAGTAGAGAGAACTCCTCTGAGTCCAAATGGGGATGCTAGAGGAAGCTCCTACCCTCCATCCCCCACTTAGTGTTCTGAGTCTGAAAAAGGCCGACCACAAAAGCTTTTCTATTTTCTGTACTATAGGAACATTTGAATGTGACCAGGAGAAACCAAGAGGTGCTGCTGCTTGTATGGTGTTTCTGGTACCTCCAGTTCTGCCTCCTGAGGACTTAATTGGAAGGGTTTCTCCAGTGACACAGGGAGAAGGCTGTCTCGTGGGTCTCTGCTGTGATCTGCCTTGTCCCAACCTGCTAAGGAAAAGGCACACACAGTGCTGGTTTTCTTGTTGTCAGGCTGTTCATACTGAGGGGCCTCGGAGCAGTTGTTTGGCCCTGAGTGTCTTGACCATGTTGTTTTTAATCCCTGTGACCCTTAATTTTAAAGCAAAGGCCAAGTGTTGGCAAAGCACGTTGGCTGGTTAGTGGTAGAGGGAGTCTTCCCTCAACCAAGAAAGGTCCTGAGGGGACCTCCTGCTGGGTAAGCTGTCATCACTGCCATGATGAACCCAACTATTGTTTATGACCCTGTTTTCCCTTCTTTGTACCTAGACACACACAATCCCTGATGTTGGAAGGATATTACTATAAGAATAAAGCAAGGATCCGTGCCTCTTGTTTAAAAAAAGAAAAGCAGAGCAGAGCAGAGAGGAGCAGGCAAAAGGCACTTACAGAAGGCAGGCAGGTGAAGATGATCACAGGATGGTGCCCCCTGGGTCAGGCTTGGGGCTGGAGGTTCAAGGACAGACACGAGCCCCAAGCCTGGAGGGCCCCCACAGACAGCCTGTGAGTGGAAATGAGAACAATACACACACAGAGAATCCAAACAAAGTTCAGAGGAGTCGCAGAGGTTCCAACCCAGGAGCATAACAAGTCTCCCTGGGGAAGATCACTCCTGGGCTGAACCTTAATGGTCAGTGTCGCAGGGTAGCGGGGTGAGGCAGGTGCTCCAGACCAATGGGAACAGGGGAGAGGGCCTGGGGGAGACCACACAGTGTATGCAGGGAGCACAGGTGTGGTGCTGCTGGGCCAGAAGCTGGAGCAGGCAATGCTAGACCGTGAGTCTGCAGAGGTGGGCGGGAGCTCAGTCATGCCAAGGAGGGGCATAGCACAGTACTGAGGCTTCCACCCCGAAGGCAGACGGGTTCTAATCCAGATCTGACATATGATATATATTGTCTTTGCAAGTTATTGAACAACTGCTGTGAAGAAGAAATTCATGCAAAATATGAAGAGGACTAAGGAAGAAAGGGTGTGGTTGGACTTTCCTAAAGGATGGAATTGGAGAGACGGATTCCAGCAGAAGGCTGTTGGGTCAGAAGAGAAGTAAGGGGGCTGACTCAGGCAGAGGCACTGAGGATAGAGGAGGGATGGAATCCTAAGCTATTTGGGGGTGAGATTGTTGGGACTTGTAATGTTATGAATGAGAGAAAAAGAAAAAGGCAAAGGCAAAGAGAATTCCCACATTTCCAGCTTGGTATTGGAATGGATCCTGGGGCCCTGGTTGGGTGGGGGAGAAGGATCAAGGGCACAAGCTGAGCAGGGAGGAAGACGGTCAGGACAGGCATTGGGGGAAGATCGGAAGGCAGGGGACTGTAAGCACCAGAGTTCATCAGAAAGTTCTCCAGGGAGCTCCAAGTCATCTATCATCCATTGGCAGCACATGCAAATGATATACAGGGTAGACAAGAAAGGGGGAAGCAGGGGAGAAGACCATAAATAGAGCCCGAGGAGCCCACCATGTGGGGCAGCGAGAGGAAGCAGTGCTTCATATGAGTCTCCCTTAGCTCAGGAGCTCCCTGTGTTCGGCAGCTGAGCTCCACTGCCTCTGGCAATATCTGCTTATAACTAGATAAAGTATGTTGTACTCAATTAAGAATATAAACTTGGAACCAGGCAACCTAGGTTTGAATTCCAACTCTACTGCTTCCTGGATGTGGGACTTCGAATAGATTCATCTGCACACAATTCATGTTTTCTCATCTATAAAAATGGAGATATTAATGCCTACTTCACGGGACTATTGTGAGCATTACACAAGATGACATATGCAAAACCCTTAAAACAGTACCCTGCATACACACAGTTTCCCTATGATTATTCTTGTGATGACATTGGCAATGGAGACCAGATATGTGCCCTTTATCCACCTGGTGCACCTGCAAAGACTAAATCAGCTTTACCTGCAAGACCTGTTGACAGGTCAAATGTCAGGTCAGTTCTTCCAGCTCCATCATTCCTCTAATCCCCTTTCCTACCTGATCCTGCAGAAACTGTCTCGTAAGGAAGACAGTAACCTCAAAACTACACCCAGAGCAATCTAGGTATAAAGTGGGAACCACACCGAGGGCCATGAAGGAAAGTGTGTAAATGTTCTTCTCCAAGGGACCATGCAGTTCAGTGGATTGTGGGAGGGGATCAGGGGTCCTTCTGGGAAGCTGGATAAGCTATTGGCCATCTTGTCAGAGAAGTCCTCATAACACACACACACACACACACACACACACAAATACACTTTGCATTCACTACCAGAGGGTTCCTGGGTCCCAGGTTGATCAGACCTATTCTCTTATGAATCTCAGACTAAATGCAATCAGATGGTTCAACAGAAAAATTACAGATGATGTCCTGTTTCTAGAGAGACACTGCATGTTGAACACAAGAACTCTGGCAGCCTAAAGACAGAAAAAGAAGACAAATGACCCTCCCAAGTAAACAGCAACAGAACAAGGAACCATATAATAGAAGAGGGACTTTGGAGGTGACCTGACAGAAGCTAAGTGAACCCTACTTCTTTTGGTCTGGCAGTGAAGAAAAAGACACCATGCACCAAGGAATAGTATTGCCATGAAGTGTCATGAACTGGACATCTTGTCCCAAGGTTTGGTACATTTCTTTAGCAAACATGCTGGGCTTCTAGCCCAAGGGTACACTAACTAAATCCTGGTACCAATTAAACAACTCAAACACTAACTGCCTTTCGTCATATACTGGATGTGATTGAGTGTCCCTAAGTGAGTGACCTGTGCCTGGACCTTGAAGATAAGGACATACAGAGGGAAATCTGTTTTTTATGTGTTTACTCTTCTGGAAAAGAAAGGAACAGGAGTATGATATAGTGGCTATGGAAGCTGTCTGTGCAGGCGAGGCAGAAGTGACACAAAATCATTCTCTGTCTGCCTATTTATTTCAGCATGAAATAAATGATGAGCTGATGTGATAAATTGGAGAGTGGGATGTGAGGGTTTGTGACAGTCGGTCATATAGGACCCAGCTCTGAGCCTCACTCAGTATCTAAGTGGCAGCTGAGATTATAAGACAGGGGGAGGAAATGCAAAATGAGGAGCAGTGATGCGAGTAGTGGCCTTGGAACCAGTTGGTGCTGAGAGGCCAGGGACAGGAAGACTATAATATCTACGTTCCTGAATAATGCAACGTTTAGATCACTGACTTAGGAATCCTATACAAAAATAAGCAACCCAAGGAATTTCTGGTGGTGCCATGACAACAGGGAAGAAAAAGGAAACTTCCTGTTTAAAGTCTGGCTGAACACCTTTTTAAATGTCCTAATGTCAGTCTGACCTCACACATTTCTCCAGGGAGACTCTTTGCTACCCAAGGAGCTGCCTGAACTGCAAAAGCCAGAAGATTCCATTAGTTGCTGCTGCCTGAAGGTGCAGAACTGCGGCTCTGGGGATGAAGATCAACGGAGTCATCTCCAAGGCGATGGGCTCCTGGCCAAACATTATGTAACATCTGCGTATGCGTGGGTGTTTGCAGCATTTCATAGAAAACCAGGCCCAGATGTGTCGGGGTGAACTCCATCCTTCTGTTATTAAGTACTGCAGATTCCTTTTTATATTATCTAATACCCAACTCCAGTTTAAATCTACAGCCCAAAGTCCACCTTATTCATTTATTCATTCAAGGATTACAGAAGTTTTCTGTATACACATCTCTGTGTCAGGGGACATGGGAAGGAGGGGACAGAGTTGAATAAGTTAGCCCTGACTTTGGCACATTTTCACCA